GGAATAGCTTTCACAATCCAGTGGGAGAGATACTGTTTAGAAAGCACTCTACGCGCAGCCAGATTGGCAAAATAGACAAAAAGCTGATAATACGAGCAGATGGCTCCATGTCCGTGCAATGTACAGTGGGGAGAACAAGTATTTGATACACTGCTGATTTTGCAGGTTTTCCTACTTACAAAACATGTAGAGGTCTGTAATTTTTATCATAGGTACACTTCAACTGTGAGAGACGGAATCTAAAACAAAAATCCAGAAAATCACATTGTATGATTTTTAAGTAATTAATTTGCATTTTATTGCATGACATAAGTATTTGATCGCCTACCAACCAGTAAGAATTCCGGCTCTCACAGACCCGTTAGTTTTTCTTTAAGAAGCCCTCCTGTTCTCCACTCATTACCTGTGTTAACTGCACCTGTTTGAACTCGTTACCTGTATAAAAGACACCTGTCCACACACTCAATCAAACAGACTCCAACCTCTCCACAATGGCCAAGACCAGAGAGCTGTGTAAGGACATCAGGGATACAATTGTAGACCTGCACAAGGCTGGGATGGGCTACAGGACAATAGGCAAGCAGCTTGGTGAGAAGGCAACAACTGTTGGCGCAATTATTAGAAAATGGAAGAAGTTCAAGATGACGGTCAATCACCCTTGGTCTGGGGCTCCATGCAAGATCTCACCTCATGGGGCATCAATGATCATGAGGAAGGTGAGGGATCAGCCCAGAACTACACGGCAGGACCTGGTCAATGACCTGAAGAGAGCTGGGACCACAGTCTCAAAGAAAACCATTAGTAACACACTACGCCGTCATGGATTAAAATCCTGCAGCGCACGCAAGGTCCCCCTGCTCAAGCCAGCGCATGTCCAGGCCAGTCTGAAGTTTGCCAATGACTATCTGGATGATCCAGAGGAGGAATGGGAGAAGGTCATGTGGTCTAATGAGACAAAAATAGAGCTTTTTGGTCTAAGCTCCACTCGCCGTGTTTGGAGGAAGAAGAAGGATAAGTACAACCCCAAGAACACCATCCCAACCGTGAAGCATAGAGGTGGAAACATCATTCTTTGGGGATGCTTTTCTGCAAAGGGGACAGGACGACTGCACCGTATTGAGGGGAGGATGGATGGGGCCATGTATTGCGAGATCTTGGCCAACAACCTTCTTCCCTCAGTAAGAGCATTGAAGATGGGTCGTGGCTGGGTCTTCCAGCATGACAACGACCCGAAACACACAGCCAGGGCAACTAAGGAGTGGCTCCGTAAGAAGCATCTCAAGGTCCTAGAGTGGCCTAGCCAGTCTCCAGACCTGAACCCAATAGAAAATCTTTGGAGGGAGCTGAAAGTCCGTATTGCCCAGCGACAGCCCCGAAACCTGAAGGATCTGGAGAAGGTCTGTATGGAGGAGTGGGCCAAAATCCCTGCTGCAGTGTGTGCAAACCTGGTCAAGACCTACAGGAAACGTATGATCTCTGTAATTGCAAACAAAGGTTTCTGTACCAAATATTAAGTTCTGCTTTTCTGATGTATCAAATACTTATGTCATGCAATAAAATGCAAATTAATTACTTAAAAATCATACAATGTGATTTTCTGGATTTTCGTCTCTCACAGTTGAAGTGTACCTATGATAAAAATTACAGACCTCTACATGCTTTGTAAGTAGGAAAACCTGCAAAATCGGCAGTGTATCAAATACTTGTTCTCCCCACTGTATGTGTGATACAAATGAAGGGGGTGAAAAAGGGGATAGCTCAAAGGCTAAAGACCTTTAGAACATACTCATGTATGGGCATCCGCTTGTCAAATGTACACTTACTGTTCAGCTGGGCTGAATGAGGGCAGCCTTAGCATTCACCAAGATCAGACACACAGGGCAGCGGTAATTAGTCTTTCAGAGATGACGAAACCAGAGAACCAGACCTTTTTTGTTCCAGTTTTGCTTCAAGCAATAGCGTGAAATAGGTCTGCTTCATGAGGGGAGAAGGGCCTTGGTCAGGGAGGTGACCAAGAACCCGATGGTCACTCGGACAGAGCTCCAGAGTTCCTCTGTGGAGATGGGAGAACCTTACAGAAGGACAACCATCTCTGCAGCCCGCTTGGAGTTTACCAAAAGGCACCTAAAGGACTCTCAGACCATGAGAAACAAGATTCTCTGGTCTGATGAAACCAAGATTGAACTCTTTGGCCTGAATGCCAAGCATCACGCCTGGAGGAAACCTCGCACCATCCCTATGGTGAAGCATGATTGTGGCAGCATCATGCTGTGGGGATGTTTTTCAGCGGCAGGGACTGGGAGACTAGTCAGGATCGAGGCAAGGATGAACGGAGCAAAGTACAGAGAGATCCTTGATGAAAACCTGCTCCAGAGTGCCCAGGACCTCAGACTGGGGCGAAGGTTCACCTTCCAACAGGACAACGACCCTAAGCACACAACCATGACAAGTGGCATCGGGACAAGTCTCTGAATGTCCTTGAGTGGCCCAGCCTGAGCCCGGACTTGAACTCGATCGAACATCTCTGGAGAGTCCTGAAAATAGCTGTGCAGCGACGCTCCCCATCCAACCTGACAGCTTGAGAGGATCTGCAGAGAAGAATGGGAGAAATTCCCCAAATACAGGCGTGCCAAGCTTGTAGCGTCATACCTAAGAAGACTTGAGGCTGCCATCGCTGCCAACAAAGTGAGTAAAGGGTCTGAATACTTATGTAAATGTCATATTTCCGTTTTTTTCCGTTCTTTGTCTTTGTGGGGTATTGTGTGTAGATTGATGAGGGTGGGGGGGGAACTATTCAATCCATTTTAGAATAAGGTTGTAACGTAACAAAATGTGGAAAAAGTGAAGCGCTCTGAATATTTTCAGAATGCGCTGTATATCTATATGGAGCTGGCCCCTGATTTTATGCTATGCCATTATGCTAGTCAACTCCAGTCTAGCCAACACTGGCCACAGCAGGCATCAGACTTTCCTTATAAAACTCCTAAGAGGTAGAGAAAAAGCCAACCACATCTTATTCTCTTACTTGGTGATTCTATGCCATAGCCTGAAAATATTTTTGTTATGTCAGATTGTTCTGGCAATTCTAACATAAACTTCATTGGGAGGAAGGATGTTTAATATACTTTTTACATTTGTAACACAAACCATGTATAGGCTCTTTACATGCCCCCTGTAAGACCAATGATCTGTGAACCGTACATGATGCAGACAACACCTTGGTGTCATTATACTCCTAATAGTGTGCTCTAAAATATGGAGTATCGCTACATTCTGAATTACAATTTTATACATCAATTTATTCAACATTAACACTTTAGACTACATCACATTTTCAGAGTGGGCTCTCTGCTGCTTATGATATATTTTATGAGCACTACCAACCCAGTGAATGGAAAAATTTATTAAAAGGGAACTCCCTTTGCTGGTGATTTGCTGAAAGTGCAATCCTACTGTGATTGGTTAATGACCTATAATGTACATTTATATGTATTAAAATGTATAATTTCTACAAAAGTAGCAGTGAGCCCACTGTGGAAATGTTATGTGTTTTGAAGAGTATATTGTATCAAATAGACGAAGTTGGGATCCTTAACGTTAAGAAACATCCCTAACTGAAAAACTGTTATTTTCCCCGCTTAATCAAAATCACAGTTCATTTATCACAAAACATTGTTTTCCGTGTTATAGCCGATAGGCTATAAAAGCCTGGGGAAGTTGTGTAATTAGCAAAATCATAAATGGTACTTTTGAGATATTCATAATAATATATTTAATGTTAAATTCATGTGAAATGTTTTATTTCAGAATATAGCCATGCTCTAGATTTTAGAGCCCACATTCTGCATTACCCTTGGTTTTTAAAAACTAATTGGAGTGCCTGAGTGGTGATCTTGTTAAGGCCACAACCCTCAGCACATGTACGATTCTACCTCCTGCGTGGTACGAATCCCGGCACATACCGGTCCTTCTTTGTGTATCCCTTCTCTTGGTCTCTCTTTCATTTCACACGGTATCTGTCATTGGAAAAACAATGAAATACTGAAGGAGAGTGCAAGTTCACTGGCCTTTAAAATCTCCTTAAAAAAACATCTCATTAGATGTGTGGATGCAAGTTTTACTTATATCTTATGGGGCATTTGTTGCCAACATGGAGGCCAGTTGCAGAACTTCTGGTAAATGTGTCATACTGACTGTCTTCCTGTATAACTGCTGCCTAGTGCAGGAGGAAAGGAATTTGCTGTGCTCTTGGAAACTCTTAGAATTGTGGTTTTCACTATGTTCTTTGACTCCCTCTACCCTGCGCTAGAGCAGCTGAACCAAGTTGCACAACATCTATTCTATATTAAAAAACGGGCCTTTTTTGTTATAGTATTGGGAAATGGAACAAGTGACACTCGTGCTTGTGAGTGTGTATGTGTGCGCATCCATGTATATGTAATTGAGCAATCACATCACTTTTGATTTTCAGGAAGACATTTATCGCCTCATATGAAATGAAAACACCCAGAAGTGACTGCTGGCAAACTGTGGTCTTATTTCTTTACTAATGATGTTAGAATTTTGCTTATTTTACCTATTATTATTTTACACTTTCAAGGTAAGCAGATATTTACACTGTATAGATATAGTGAGCTATTGTAAGTAATTTACCTCAATAGCTGATGTACATTAGCTTATGCATGGAAAATGTGGTTGTTCAACAACTGTTGTATTGTCTAAATCCTTTGGATTCTAGGGTTAAGAATGGGTTAAAGCTACATTGTCAGTTTTCTATTTTCTGTCTGTGTCTTGGCAGTGAGCTGGAGAGGGACAAGCAGACCCAGTGCTGTGTGTGTTTGTTTTCATTGCGTGTGTGAGTGAGTGCTTGGGTGCGTGTGGTTTGCTGACTGGGGTTCAGTTAGGGTTAGACTATAACAACCCTGTGAGTATTTGTGGAAATGAAAAGCCACTGTAGGAGCAAGGAAAGGCTGTAGAAGAACAGACTCAGCGGTGCTAGGATGGGCTCTGGGGTGCGTGTGAGTCCAGTCCGATTTCACAGTGGTGTGAAATCTGCTCAGTTCATTGTATTCATGTTTGAAACAGTGACCTCTACTGGAGTTGACTGGTTTGGACTTTGTTTTGCATGGCTGTTTATTTCTCCTAGTAAACGTCAGTATCAGTGTTAGATGTTTTAGGTTAGAGGTTGTTATGCAAGTATCTTCTGGTTTGTTGTCTATTAATGGGCATTTTGTCTTGCTTTTCTTTTCTCTGTTTCTCTTTCCTTGTCGTCTTGGTCAGTCCGTAAAGGGGAAGTGGCTCTTCTGAGATTCAGTGAATCATTTTATAGTCAAAATATGGCAATATGCCTGTACATGAACTAATAACCGAAATTAAATTGCTGGTTGTGTGTTAACGTGTCCTGATTGGATATTTCTGCTACAGAGTGACAGAAAAGGACGCAGTTAAACGGTTATAAAGGGTCAATTGCTTGAATGGAATAAATGGAACAGTCAAACGTGGTTTCCATATTTTTGTGTTTGATACTGTTCCATTTATTCCATTCCAGCCATTACAATGACCCCGTCCTCCTAGAGCTCCTTCCACCAGCCTCCTCTGACACACACACTGGGAGGTGACTAGGGCTGACTCCATTTAGTCGACTGGTGGACTGTTTGGTCGATAGGCTGTTGGTCGACTGAGATTTTATTTGTTTAACAGTGGCAAATTGTTTTAGTTTTTTTTCATGGCGCACAAGACACCTGTCTGATTTGTGCCTCTCTCAGTGGACTAATCCATTGTGGAGGCCGTGGGGATGGCACAGTCCATCACTCTAAGACGTGCTACTGAAATTGTATATGGTTATATTACGTAAGAACAATGGTGCAAAGCTAATAAAAATAAGATTTTTTTATAACAAATGCGCTTTTTCCCGCATTTGATAGCAGTCGCTGTCAGAGGTTCTGAAACATAATCTTCAGTGCGCCGTTGAATTGGTGCCTTTCCCTAGACCATGTTGCTAGACCATGTTGCTATGTGCTTTCCCCCTTCTGATAACCAGGTGGCGAATCGCATCTCTGCATGTCTGGCAGACATATCAGTATGGATGACGGATCACCACCTCAAGCTGAACCCTGGCAAGACGGAGCTGCTCTTCCTCCCGGGGAAGGACTGCCCGTTCCATGATCTCGCCATCACGGTTGACAACTCCGCTGTGTCCTCCTCCCAGAGTGCGAAGAGCCTAGGCGTGACCCTGGACAACACCCTGTCGTTCTCCGCCAACATCAAGGCGGTGACCCGCTCCTGCAGGTTCATGCTCTACAACATTCGGAGAGTACGACCCTGCCTTACACAGGAAGCGGCACAGGTCCTAATCCAGGCACTTGTCATCTCCCGTCTGGACTACTGCAACTCGCTGTTGGCTGGCCTCCCTGCCTGTGCCATTAAACCCCTACAACTCATCCAGAATGCCGCAGCCCGTCTGGTGTTCAACCTTCCCAAGTTCTCTCACGTCACCCCCCTCCTCCGCACACTCCACTGGCTTCCAGTTGAAGCTCGCATCCGCTACAAGACCATGGTGCTTGCCTATGGAGCAGTGAGGGGAACGGCACCTCTGTACCTTCAGGCTCTGATCAGTCCCTACACCCAAACGAGGGCATTGCGTTCATCCACCTCTGGCCTGCTGGCTCCCCTTCCTCTGCGGAAGCATAGCTCCCGCTCAGCCCAGTCAAAACTGTTCGCTGCTCTGGCACCCCAATGGTGGAACAAGCTCCCTCACGACGCCAGGACAGCGGAGTCACTCACCACCTTCCGGAGACATTTGAAACCCCACCTCTTTAAGGAATACCTGGGATAGGATAAAGTGTTCCTTCTAACCCCCCCCCCCCCCCAAATTGTAAAGTGGTTATCCCACTGGCTATAGGGTGAACGCACCAATTTGTGAGTCGCTCTGGCTAAGAGCGTCTGCTAAATGACGTTAATGTGCCCTTGAGCAAGGCACTTAACCCTAATTGCTCCTGTAAGTCGCTCTGGATAAGAGCGTCTGCTAAATGACTAAAATGTAAAATGTATGTAAATGCATAAAAGCAAAGTTAAACAGCATATTAGTGTTGAGAAAAATGTGGTGGAGGCCACAGGTTGGTGGCACCTTAATTGGGGAAGACGGGCTTGTGGTAATGGCTAGAGCGGAATGAGTGGAATGGGATCAAACACATGGTTTCCATGTGTTTAATGCTAATCCATTCGCGCCGTTCCAGACATTTATTATGAGCCGTCCTCCCCTTAGCAGTCTCCTGTGGCAGAGGCAGCAGCGGAGTGAGGAGACAAGGAAACAGCCCATGCCTTAATTGTCTAAGAAAAGTGAGGAGAGAGGAAACCCCAACTTAATTAGGCCTATAGGCTAATCAGTAGCCTAACTGTTAAATGTTCCTGGCTTTATAAATCATCCATATATACTGGGCCTTCAGAAAGTATTCACACCCCTTGACTTTTTCCAATGTTGTTGTTTTAGCAAGTGGGATTAAAATGGATTTAATCGTAGTATTTTGTCAATGATCTACACAAAATACTCTAATGTCAAAGTGGAAGAAATATTCTAACATTTGTCAAATACAAAATGAAAAATAAAAAAGGAATATCTTAATTAGTTAAGTATTCAACCCCCTGAGTCAATACATGTTAGAATCACCTTTGCAGCGATTACAGCTTTGAGTCTTTCCGGATAAGTTACTAAGAGCTTTGCACACCTGGATTGTACAATTTTTAAATTCTTCAAGCTCTGTCAAGTTGGTTGTTGATCATTGCTAGGCAGCCATTTTTAAGTCTTGCCATACATTTTCAAGCAGATTTAAGTCTAAACTGTAACTAGGCCACTCAGGAATATTCAATGTCGTCTTAGTAATCAAATTCCAGTGTATATTTGGCCTTGTGTTTTAGGTTGTTGTTCTTCTGAAAGGACAATGCTGGACGAAGGGACCTTACAGATAATTGTATGTGTGGGGTACAGAGTTTAAGTAGTCATTCGAAAATCGTGTTAAACACTATTATTGCACACAGTGAGTCCATGCAACTTATTATGTGATTTGTTGAGCACATTTTTACTCCTGAACATATTTAGGCTTGCCATAACAAAGGGGTTAAATACTTATTGACTCACATTTCAGCTTTACATTTTTTAGTAATTTGTAAAGATTTCTAAAAACATAATTCCACATTGTCATGGGGTATTGTGTGTGTGTGTAGGCCAGTGACACAAAATCTAAATTTAATCCAAATTAAAATTATGCTGTAACACAAAATGTGGAAAAAGGGTGTGAATACTTTCTGAAGGCACTGTATCTACAGAATTAACACAGATCCTGCTTCTGTTGCCTGTTTGAGTGTTTGTTTAATAGCCTACTGATTCAGTGAGTTCCAAGCCTCATGTCGGATAAAGCAGTTTCACAAATTCTGCTGTTTAAAAAAAAATAAGATTGTAATCCAACAGCACCTGTTTGTTACGCATAATACGCACGCAGCGCTCGCTCCTATAGGAGAGAACAGGGCCGAAAGTCATTCGTTTTTGTTGTTTACTCAGACATCGATAGAGCTAGAGACACCATATTTTATGACAAACCAATTATATATGTCATTTCTAGGGTAAATGAGTTGAAATTTAAATAGACCGAGAACATAACTACCGCAACGTTACTTTTGTACCTGCCAGCTGGGCGGGAGTAACACAACCTTGGGACTAAAGTAACAACCACAATATTTTGCAATCAGACTAAAATGGATCACATAATAGCTATAGTAACCATCATTTTCTCATCTCACTTTAAAGGGAATGTAGTAGGAGATGTTTTTCACCATTTATCAATGACTATTCATGCTTAGCCCTACCAATCAGGTGTGCTCCAGCTGTCCTTGTCATGGGCGCTCCGCATGTCGTGATAAAATAACTGTCTTTATTCTCTTCACAAACGGCAAACTCATCATGTTTATCACATTTCTATGGCTTGACAAAAGGTAATTGACCCACAGAATCATAGTGTTTTTTTAACCACTAACCTGTTGATTATAAGCTCAAGTGAATTGCTTAAGGCATAGTTCTAATGATGTCAATTTTCAAACATTCAGTCAAGTTGCTATTTTGTTAACATTATAAAAGCAATATCAACTAGAGACAATGGCATGTGCTTAAATGTTTTTATTTTATTCCAGGTCATCAGTGTTAGGTTCTAAGATTCTGGTACAAATTCCAGTCGGAGTCCGAAGAAAGCTCAGGCTAGATGTATTAAACCACTCAGGGTCATACAGCTGCAAAGACAAAGTATTATTATACACGCACATATATTTGTACCCTCTTTCCAGACAAGACCCCCCCAGAGTCTAGGATATACAATGCATCTCTGTGGCTAGCCAGGTGGTGTTATCGTCCCAACCCGAGTACGGAACCTTTGCATCTCCCGGTCTACTTATCAGTCAGGAGAAGCTTTGAGACTAGGGAGTATACATTCTTGCAGCCTGACTCAGTCCATTGTTAATTATCCGGACTCGTACACAAAGAGCAATTTGAGAAGAAGCAACCCATTCGTACTCAAGTGAATGTAATGATGCAAAACATATTGAGAGAATATAATGATATAAAAACAGTGAAGCTATAAGACGGTGTCATAGGGCAGTAGTTTACAATCAATTAGCTCTAACACATGCCTCCCATCTCACCCTTATGGAAACATTTTGTGTCAGAGACAGGCCCCCTTTGATATATAATTATAAATATACTAAAACATGCTCAAGTCAATTACTAAGTTTTCAACATCAGTTTACATTGTTACTTTCGTCCCACCCATCTCGCTTGTAACTAATGTAAAAAAAAAAATGTATGCTCTGGATAAGAGCGTCTGCTAAATGACTAAAATGTAAAATGTAAGAAACATATCGATATGTAGCTATACCCAGGGGCGTCATTTGGATTCTTGCATTGGAATTCTATTGAATTTTGCTTATGTCTCGCTATACCACAATAAACATACGTTCAAATGCTTTTGACCAAGAAGTGACAGGTTCAATGGCACGAAATCGCTGATGCGCTCTATCAGCAACATGGACAGCGCCCTACACTCCAAAGCAAGATTTTGATAAAAAAACAACCAGCTAGACAACAACCAGCTCCTTGATTTTCTGTGGAACTTCCTGAGTAATCGATCATTCCATTCTCCCCGGAATCTTGTAAGATCCCCCTCAAATGCCAGTTGTACTAGTTGAGCTTTCCTCGGGTGTAACATGCTTCTTCGGTGCTGACTGAACACGTTTGTCAAAGGTGGAAAATGAGTTCTCACATGTAGCTGTGGACGCCCCAAAAGTCAGTCCATGTTTCAGTGCAGTAAGCACGGTCGGCATAGCGGAGAGGGGCCCAGAGAAGCATTGCAGGATATCAAGTGGGGTCCATTTGTCCTCATTGGAGCCAGAGCGGGCGATTTCAGTCTGCAAAAACTGGCGAGCGACACTAAACTCAGCTTCCACCAAATCGGCTTTGCTTAGATCCAGCAGTGGTTTCATCTTTTTCATAGATAGAAAGTCATGGCTCTCTCTATTTTCACATCCATTAGGATCCTTGGTCCCATCTACCTTCAATGTGTACCAAGATTCTCCGACTTCTTTAACTATTTCCTCAGTGACAATCTCACTCATGAGCCCTAGGATTTCATTTTCAATATCGTGTCATGTGTATGTGGCATTGCGGGGTATGGTGCTAAACACATTGGCAAGTTCTGTGTCTTTTCGGCGAGTATATTCCATCATAGACCCAAAAAAATCCACTGCCCCTCTTGACTCTATTGCATCCAATGTTCCCCTCAGTGGTTGCTGGTTTGAAACAAGGAACTCGATAATGTCCACAATCGCCGGCAAATACATGCAATTTCTTGCCAGCTGCACATTATAAACAAGTGTTGACCCTGATGTTCCCATAGCACTTTGAACAAATCTTTCTTTCAATAGTGCAGTGCATTTAAAATGCTCTTTGCTTGATGCGGGCGTAGCAAATCCTTTGGTACTATCAATAGCATTCTTCCAGTTAGAATACCCAGCATTGTCTGCGTTAGCATTGGACCCAACACATACTTTCGACATGGGAAACAAAATGCTGCGTTTGCTGTAACCGAGTATTCCAGCCACTCTCTTCCTATGAACCAGTTGTTGCTATTAAATTAATGTTTTTGGACAGAACCTGCGCCTAGGGTGGGATTCTAGGCTAATCTGGGCTGGCTCCTCTGTTCCAAGATCATCAGGAACAGTCGGAGGTAGAGGTGGCTGTAGAGCCATTATCCTGGTGGTGCTTGTGGAAGGGTGGGTAGGCTCTGCACGTGGAGATAGCTGGAGCTCGGCAGCATCATCTCTGCTGGGCTTGGCGGCGGCCCTCTGGTTTGATGCTGATGCTTATCGCTCTCCTTCTCCTTTGTTTGGGTACTTTGGCCAAGCCAGTTTCTGATATCCATCGGGGCAGATTAGCTGATTCGAGTTAGCTAAATAAACTAAGGCTTACAACACTAACGCTTTTTACAGCTAGCTAAGCAGCTAATTAAACTCTGTAGTGGTGGGACGTGAGACAAAGTTGAGTGAAGTTATTCACTTAGCCTACCACAGAGGTCAGAAGTGTTTTTCCCTGCTTTTTATGGAAACCCAAAGGAGTCATACCTAACCGCCCAGTGGCTTTCCATAGCCCCCCTACACACACTGCAGCGCGCTCTGTCCATTGTGCTGACACAGCGCAGCCTGCCACTCGATCATTTTAAATGTTTTGCTATTTTTATATTGGGACATAAAACTTAAACTGAGGGAGAGTGGTACGATTGTGTTAAAGTTATTGGGGGGCCCATTCTACTCAGGAGCACTTCTAGTTTCCAAATCCACAGAGTTGACACTCTAAATCAATTGCTGTCGGGCTCCCTCTTCAGTTATTTGTGTGTCTTAATTATTTAATCAAACAGTGCACTTAAAGCATCAGACAAGCTCAGTGTATATAATTGATTGTATTAAAACACATTCTATATGGAAAAATACACATTTTAACATTTCAACCAATCAATTACTCGAAAGAACAGACGACTCAGTCGAGATAGATAGATAGATATATACATACATACAAATTAAATGTCAGGGACAAAAATAAATATACACACACATTCTCAACTTGTTTGCCTCTTACTCCCTCTCTCTGTCCCTCGTCACTAATCGACTCGTCCTCCTGTCTTTCTGTGCTATAGCTGATCGACTCGTTTGTCTGGGAGATCGGGAATCTGAAGAAGGAGATGGTGCAAAAGGCTGAGGTAGCAGAGGGAGACCCAGAGCCTGTAATACTACAGGGGTAAGTGTGTGTTAAAACCGACAGACAAACTGACTAAAAAAATTGTTATTTCTGTCCATCTGTCTGTCCATCCGTTTACTCTAGTAGTGGTACGATGAGCAGACTTGCTTCAGCCTTTTCATGGGCTGATGTAAAACTAACGTTAGCTGTGCATGGTAGAGGGAGGGGAAAAGGAGGAAGACATTAAAACAGTGATTGTTTCCTTGAGGAACGAGTAGAATTCCCTTTCAGACCACTTTCAGTTTGTAATAACAGATGTTGAATTCATTGTTACTGGATGTTTGATGAGAAAGATTAATGAGGATGATGATGCTGATGATGAGTGTCAGTTTGAGTAACGTTGATTGGAGTTCTGTAGTTTCCAGTGTCCACCAGCAAGTGGGGATAGTGTGCTCTGGTCATTCAGGTAGATGAGTTTCATGATGTCATTGTGTTGACCAGATGTCAGAGGGAACGGTGGAAAGCGTATCAGGGATTTCCAAAGTGAACACCAAGCATATTTGTGTAAATTAGATTATGGTTTACAAAAAATGGGTTACAGGTTACCTGATATTAGGTGCATAATGACATGTAGATTAAACTGGGTGTACAAAACATTAGGAACATCTTCCTAATATGGAGTTGCACACCTTTTGCCCTCAGAACACCCTCAATTTGTCAGGGCATGGACTCTACAAGGTGTGGAAACCGTTCCACATGGATGCTGGCCCATGTTTACTCCAATGCTTCCCACAGTTGTGTCAAGTTGGCTGTATGTCGTTTGGGTGGTGGACCATTCTTGATACACACGAGAAACTGTTGAGCAACTGTCTCCTCCCCTTCATCTACACCACATGTGTCAAACACAAGGCCCACAGGCCGAATCCGACCCATTACACATTTCAATTAATTTTGGCCCCCGTAATACCACCCGTAATGCGCTGCACTACAAGTCACAGCAAGCACTGCCAAAGTGCTGCACGCCAAATGGCAGTGCATTGCGACACACACACACCCCTCACACATGAGCCAGCCAGTGCGCTGTAATATATCGTCAGTAATGGCACTGACCGAATCTTCTACCAAACCGAAAGTTTAAATGTGTTGGCTAAATGTCCATGCCAAGTTTAGATTCCAACGGGTCATTGCTGTAGCCTACAAAAAATGTCATCTTGGTTGTCAAAAAGTTATATGATATAGGATTCACACGCGGGTATAAATTACTACTAACGTACAATCGGACACACAAGCGAGTGTAAGTGAGTCAACAGTTGAGTCCTCTATGTTATGAAATTACAGCCTGTTGCGCTCGCATCGGTGAATTCAACGTCAATTGCGCTGCTTTAGTGTGTCCCGTTCACAGCTCGCAGCAGAAGGAAATTGTGTAGACACGTGCCACAGTCCTCGCTAGGCTACTAAAATGTTGCAGGCTTCGGTTTTTAAAGCTTGACAATGAATAACCAAAAAACTAAACCTGCAACAAAACACCATGCAAATGAGAAACATGTAAGCCTACTACAGCAACAGTTGAGCAGTAGCCTTGGCTGGCTACAACACATTTTGAGTGCTTCTTATTTTGTTTTAATATGTTAATGCTATATAGATTTATTCCTCTTTTTCGACAGTGTGCGGGTCTCCATCTCGTTCATTAAAATGCTATATACAGCATGCTATGTCCTATGGACATTATAAAGGGCCATATTTTTTCAAATAAAACAATGGCCAGTTTGGCTAGCAGTTGTATGCACGTTTTTTTTTGTAAAAAGAAAACATAATGGGCTATGTCTGGCCCGCGAATTCATAGTTTTTTTCAATATGGCCCGTGACATCAATAAGGGATCATAGCTTTCACCTGGTCAACCTGTTGAAAGAGCAGGTGTTCCTAATGTTTTGTACGCTCAGTGTATAATAATATACCCATTTCAGCCTCATATGAAGATTGCTAAATATTCACACCAATGGTGATTAGTCAATATCAGTGGCGCTAGCAGTCTGTTGAGCCCAGATAGGATGTTGAAGCAGTTTCTGTTGAATTGAAAAAGCACTCCTTTCTGAAGAAGTATGAGTGGTGATGTATAAGGGCCTCCGTAGGCGTGCTTGCTTTGAGTCATTTCATTATTAGAAGTTGTTGGGTACATGTGTCTTACACTGAAGTACTGAATTACCTGGGCCATTATGCTTTTCTATTATTAGTATTGAAATCCATTTATAACTATGATTCAACTCAATAATACTAATTGGCTCTCATGCTGATGTATTACTTTCTAGTTTTTATTATGTGTGTGTGTGCACTTGCGCGTGAATAGTTTTCTGTGTGTGCATGCATGTGTCTGTACGTGTGGATACCACTATCAGTAAACAAATAGGGGATTTAAATGGTTTATTTCTAATTTGGTCTTCCTTTCTCTCCCTCTCAGGCTGGATAGGGAGGTGGGAGGTCTGTTCCTACAGGCTCCTCCCTGTGTTGGCGTGAGGGCGGGGCTTGCTGGAGCGAGGGATTCGGGCTACAACTCTTTGCATAGAAGGATGAGTGTGCTGGACAGGCTGGTGCAAACGCACGCTGTGTGGCTGCAGCTGGGACTGAGCCATGCAGAAGCCACATGCAAACTGCAACCACAGCCCACTGGGGTGAGACCAGATGCACTCACCTAGTCACAGGACCCAATTCAATCAATTACAGATAGTCAAACTGCGGGTTCACTTTATCTGAATGTAAGGTGAAACGCCCTCCTCTGATTGGCCATTGTCATTCCATTTCTTTTTCATTCTCAGAAGAACTGATTGTGACACAGGAGTTGTGACACAGGAGTGGCTCAAGTCACATGTGGCAAACACAAGGCCCATAGGCCGAATCCAGCCCATGACACATTTCAATTCATTTTGGCCCGCTTCCATACCACCTGTAATGCGCTGCACTACAAGTCACAGCAAGCACTGTCAACGTGCTGCACGCCAAATGGCAGTCTCCCCTTTCCATAGAGGGGTCATATTAGTTAGTAGGCCAAACCGTTCGGACACTACAGACGTTTCATGAGAAGACCGATTTTCAGGATGTCTCCTGGTCTGACAAACAGCGCTGTAGCTCTGCCACTTTCCAACGCAGATGCGGAAGGCCAACATAGGCAGATGCGGTGAATTGCGATACGGCCCATGCAAGAAACATCTCTAGCTTAAACTGACCGATTTTTATGGGGATTTTTCTATGTTCATTAGATTGACGGGTGGGTGTGTCAATAGAGATTATAGTGGTATTGTTTAGACGCAAGCCTCAGCCAGCACCCTTAAGATACTAGACACTGTATCACGGGGCGCTTAAATTTATAACAAAGGCAAGACCACTCACCCATCACTGTGATCTATAGCAGGTGCTCCCACACTTTTTTACTCAGCTTACTTACACTTTTGCAACTTTCAGGAGTAAGTTGAACGCTGGACTGAGTTCCTTTAGGGACCCCCTGCGCCCCCCATGCCGAACCCTCGCGTACCCCAGAACCACTGAGTGTACAAAACATTTGGAACACCTGCTCTTTCCATGACATAGATTATCCAGACGAAAGCTATGATCCCTTATTGATGTCACTTGTTAAATCCACTTCAATCAGTGTAGATGAAGGAAAGGAGACAGGTTAAAGAACAATTTTTAAGCCTCAATACAATTGATACATGGATTGTGTATGTGAGCCATTCAGAGGGTGAATGGGCAAGACAACATTTTTAAGTGCCTTTGAATGGGGTATGGTAGTAGGTTGCTAGGCGCACCGGTTTGAGTGTGTCAAGAACTGCAACGCTGCTGGGTTTTTCACGCTCAAACGTTTCCTGTGTGTATCAAGAATGGTCCACCCAAAGGACATCCAGCCAACTTGACACAACTGTGGGAAGCATTGGAGTCAACATGGGCCAGCATCACTGTGGAACGCTTTCCACACCTTGTAGAATCCAGGACCCAACGAATTGAGGTTGTTCTGAGGGGAAAAGGGGGTGCAACTAAATATTAGGAAGGTGTTCCTAATGGTTTGTACACTCAGTATATATGACATGGTGAAGTGGCCCTCTCTTCCTATGAGAAGGCTGATGCACTGGTACATCTTTGTGTACAAAGCAGTGCTTGGAGTATTGCCTACTTATCTGTGATCCTCACTTACAAGGTCATCACAAACATACAAGGTCATCACAAATTTAGTCTCCGCTCTCAGCTGCTAGGATCTTTCACGGTACCTAAGGGGCCAGGATGGAAATGGAAAAAATAAAATGTTCCTATAATGCTCCTTGGTCTTGGAACTAGCTGCAAAATACGTTTTTATTGATGTCTGTGTTTCTCAATGGGCTTTTTCCCCCTGGCTGCAGACGTTTCTGGTGAGAAAGTCGACTACCCTGCAGAGGAAGGTGATCTCTCTGCGGATGCACCAGGACTCTGAGACACCCGTCAAAAATTTCCCTGTGACGGAGTGTCAATACAGTAAGCACGGCCTGTTAATTCCTATCTATTATGGATCTTTATCATCCAAATGTATCCCCATAGACCTGTGTTACTAAATGTATTGGGTAAAGTGTTATGAAATATAATGTAATGTAATATTTTAAATTGTATATAACTGCCTTGATGTTGCAGGACCCCAGGAAGAGTAGCTGGGATCCTTAATAAATACAAATACAAATTCTAATCTTCTCAATTATTAGCTTCTCAACACACAAAAAAAGAATTTTTCCTCTGATCATTTGAATGTTCTATTTGAATCTATTATATCCCTTTTGCTCTAATTTCCCCTTGGGTTTTTCCCCCCTTCTAAATCAACACCAGTGTTGACGTGTTTCTGTCACAGTACAGTATGTGGCGTTTCTCTACCTGGGCCTCAACATTATTCTCTCTCTACTCGTAAGGTCGATGCAGAGAGCACTGGGAGTTTCCCCAAGCCTATTTCCCAATACTTACCTAGTGAACGTAGGTATGTGTTATGCAGTTTAGTCACACAAAGATTCACTTCTTAAACCAGGCTTTATATAGCTGCCTCTCTTTTGATGTTCTTGGGTTGAATAGGACAATCTGATTTAAGCTATTTGTTGGGTGTTGTCCCAGAAAATGGCTGACCAGGTATTTTGTATGGTTTCTTTCTTAATGTGATGTAGCCTGGTACTTGTGATGGCCTGTTGCAGCTTGCTCTCTGGTTCTCTGTAAACGGTTGTACTAGGTGTAGGCACACTCAGCCATGCCAGCCTGCCAGGAAAACACTTACTTCTCTCCTGCAAAAAGCCTCACTGAGCTAGGCAGCTAACTGGGCATTGTTTGGCTATGGAACAATCATGTTGTTGGAGAGTGGTGACGTTGTCCATATGTACACTGATTGGCTGGGCCTGGCTCCCCAGTTGGTGGGCCTGGCTGCCAAGGGGGTGGGCTTAAGCCCTCCAAGACCCACCCATGGCTGCACCCCTGCCCAGTCATGTGAAATCCATAGATTAGGGCCGAATGTATTTATTTCAATTGACTGATTTCCTTATATGAACTGTAACTCATTAAATTATTTGAAATTGTTCCATGTTGCGTTTTTATATTTTTGTTCAGTAAAGATGCTGATCTTAAGTCCGTTTTTTCCACTAACTTGAGTACTGTTTGATGCAGCAACAGTCAAGTATCCATGCTAGAAATTTGCTAGAAAAAATGTAGAGTACTGTATATAAATGTGGACATAATGTTTTCACATTGCACAGCAGACTTTGACATCCTGTTGCTCTTCTCAAGCTCAGAGTTCGTCCAAGTTAAGCATTAGTAATGGAGCTCAGAGTGTGCAGATGGGGACTGCTCTCGGCTCGCTGGCCTGCAGCTAGCTGATATGTCTGGATTTAACCCACTTCCCCAATTTCCCCTCTTAAATGTGAATCCACATTATCTTTCCCCCTCACTCACTCGGCCTCATTCTTTCTCTTCATCTTTGTATCACTTCCTGCATAACCCAATCTCAATTAAAATGTAAATTCTCTGTCTTCGTCCATCCCTCTTTTCCAGATCTGGGACAGGTTTATGGGTTATTAAAGACTTGTTGTATACAGTTGCCTTTGTGTCTGGCTCTTCATGCCTTGGCAAATGAACCAGCAAGGCACCAGATGTGTACTCCATTGTCTTAGTAGAGTGACCTTAAACGTGTGAGCAACAGTTTTTCTGCAAAGTTGTCTCTCAGTAGACCATAATGGAATGAAAAACATTGGGAAACAGTGATAAGTTAACTACTCGCGATAATGCTACTTGTGTGTGTATGGTATGTCACTGTAGTTCCCAAGTGAAAACATCACTCCTTCTCTCATCTAGGATTGTTGCCCTGCTGTTGTTCTGATTATGGGAATAGCCTATGGAAATGTCTCATGGTTCCTTAAATATAAATGTCTCCACAGCGTTCTCCTTGGAGGGATCGGGCCTCAGCTTTGCAGACCTGTTCCGTCTTGTGGCTTTCTGCTGCATCAGCAGGTAACACACACACACCAAAAAACTGTACCTTTCACATCCCAGCTATAAATCACCTATTCCTTTTGAAGACAAACACATGGAGCCCAGAGGTTACTGAAAGAACCATGAATCAGTTAAAGTTCAGAGAATGGCATTTACTGGGCACCTCATCAGTTAATGTTATATGAGACTATTGCACTGTTTTCTTCAAAAACGACCAATGTCAGTCTAGTCTGCACTATAACAATTCCATTGACTAGTGTTTAGCAATTAACCAAAATGTCGTTTTTTTTGTTGGGGTGGGGGGGGTATTAAACAACTAATTTACCGACATCGGCTCAATTAGTTCAATTACATTTAGTTCTGTTTTTTTGTGAGCCCAACACGCAGTTTTTCTATAGAGAAATCAAACAATTCATGAGAGAATTTAAGTCGAACTATGTGGGACGCTGAGTTGAAGGGAGCTGTAGTTTTCATTTAAGCAAATATTTCAGCTATTTCAGCGCAGAAACATGTTAATTAACTCAGTGGCGTGTATTCATGGATGCCAAGGGAAGCCAGGCTTCCCAAAAAAATTACCAAGAAAAAAACATGCATCTTTCGTCTCTCCGTGTTTCATAATTTTCCTTACATTCGCAAGAGGCTGCATGTACAGTGTCTCACCGGAGAAAGCATCCGAGCGAGCGAAACAGTGCCCCTCTGTCTATGTATGTGTAGGCCATCTATCTGATGCTGTCTGGTCCAAAATAGAATGACATTGCTGTCGCCCATAGCATTGAATGCAAGGGCAGCCAGCGAGCATTTGGTCAAGCTCAACAGTGAATGGTCCTGGTGCACCAAAAAAGTGTCAAGGGAAGCCAGTTTGGATTTGTCGTCACTTCTATCAAATTACATCGAGATGTCATTGACAGAAACAACTTGAATTGTTGCAACCTGTTGTGTTGTTGTCCTCCAGTGGCAAGCTAGCTAGCTAAAATTGGCCCTTTCCTAAATTAGCCATGGATGGAGATAGGGTTTTGGACTTGTCGTTTTACTTAATTCTCCGTACTGGCCAATGATTATAACAGTGATTCTGATACAACCATTAATTAATACATTGTGCCCATGGCCTGAGATGATGGAAGTTCAATATGTAGCTAGATGTAGAAGGCTAATGTTAACTAGCTAACGTTGCCCATGGAAGGAAGTTAGGCTAGCGAGCAAGCATTTTAGCCAGGTAGCCTAAGACAAAAACTATATAGTGTGTACTGTATGACAGAGTGATAGACCATTTCGTCAACATGAAAGAGAGGATGGCATTGGCTTTTCTCTAAAAGTAGGGTGAGTCAACATGTTTTTTCTAATTGCACAAATGCGCACGCACACAGAAATCAGAAACATGGACAGCCACATCATATTTAGCTTATGTTGATTGGACTAAATAGTTTTTGGTATCTTTAAGTTGTCACTGTATTAGACTAAGCATAAGTGATTTGATGATGTTGAAGCTGAAATGGTGCTGGAATAGTGGAGGCAGCTCCTGTTTTCTTTGCGACTTGCGGTAACTCTCCATGGTTCTAAAGCAATAGTTGTTTAGTGGTTCGAAAATGTCGGAAATATCAACTTGATTGTAACTGTTTGTTACATGCTATATGCTTTGTGGACTTCACCGGACAGAGGTTGCGCTCCGGTTTTGTGATTAAACAAATGTGGTTGAATTTATTCTGCCACTGTCTTCTTATTGTCTCGGGCCTTAGGCCTATATATCATGGCCGCAAGGCATATGAACTAACAGGTTATAGCGCAAACAACGCAATTATCACAACACATAGGTTGTAATATGACCTTTTTTTTCTGGCTTGGCTTCCCCAGTGATTTTACCCACGCACCGCTACTGAATTAACTACAATGACCATCATCCATTGCGCCTGTTCTTTTCTGGCTCGGACAGAGATGGATACACTTTTACGCATACGCCGCCGCATGTGAGAGGAATGTAGACAACACGAGACAGTACGTGAAAGTATGCCTTATCTACTTTGAAAAAGTAGTACAAATATTGTAATACAGCTCTCCAGCATACTTAGGCAGGCTAGCCTAGGATGACTAAAGACAGTACAGTACAGAGAGACATTAGATGGTTGTCTGGCTGGCCAACCTGGTCTCAGAGCATTTCATATTATTCTGTACGTAAATCCGAGACACTCCATTTAGTATGATATGTTACTAATTACAATTCGTATTATATGTTACAAATTTGCATAATGTACAATATGTTACGAATTAGCAAAACTTACGATATGTTACGAATTTGCTAAACGTATGATATGTTACAAATTCTAGCTAGGTGGTTAATGTTAGCTAGGATAGGGGTTAAGGTTAAATTTAGGAGTTAGGTTAGTGGCTTACGGTTAGGGGAAGGGTTAGCTAAAAGGGTTAGGGTTAGCTAATATGCTAAGTAGTTGCAAAGTAGCTAAAAATTAGCAAGTAGTTGAAAAGTAGTGAATTAGCTCATGCTAAAGTTGTCCATGATGAGATTCAAACTCACAACCTTTGGGTTGCTAGATGCCCACCCACCCGCCCCAACCAACCACCCACCCTACTATGTAACCATCTGTCTTATGTAACCATACCAAACGTGACATATCATACAAATTTCAGTGTCCCGGATTTACGTTTCCTATGTTACATCTAGTCAATGAGACCAGGCTGGGCTGGCTGGCTGCTACTGCCTGAGCAGAGATGAGATTACTTTAAGGAATGAAAAATTATAAAGTCATCAAATAAAACTAAGTAATGTACAGAACTGAAATATTTTATTATTTCATAGTAATTTCCTATTTTGCTATGTGGACCTGAAAGAGACAATGGAATATTTTCAATGTTTTGGCAATTGATGTTCACTATTTTTGGCTTTGGAATTTCCATTAAAAAGCTCTAATCATTTTATTGTCATTATTTCATAATGCATTTAATGTGTAAAAAAAAATCATAGAAATCGAAAACCATAATTATTTTAACCGAACAGTCCTCAAAAAGCACTTATCGCTCAGCACTACCATTTTTTACGTTGGTTTGGTTTGTATACAAGGGGTCACGAAAGGCCTTTTCTTTTGAAACTCGAGGCTATTCAAGCTATGCTAATAATCTTGGATAAAACTTCGAGGTTGTGCTTGATTGAAAACATATTCCTGTCTGGTGGTGGTGAATGGCAACATGACAAGGCCACAAATCAACATGGGGGAGACAAGCAGGAATTGTCTATGAGGAAGAAGACAGGCCTTGTACTGTCTGTAGCTTGTGTTTACATATGGAGACAGGAACAAAACCGCAAAAACAAAACACAAGGGGTCGAAGATGATCATGAACTTCGAGTGTACAGTATTTTGACTGACTTTGAGCCAAATGTGTGCATGGCTATAAGATCTCAATTCTGTTGTGAATAGCAGCCTGACTCTGCTCTCTGAACGATGTTGGTTACATTTGTTGCCATGATTATGTTTGTCTTAGTCAATTAGAGCTTAAGAAATGTTCACAAACTTCAGACTTGTAAAAGTTATTTGAGACACAGGAAGAAACAGGGTGGGGTGCTGAGCCTCTTGGCCTGTGCTTGACCCTACTAAGGCTCGCTCGCTCTCTCTCTAGCTCGCTCTTATTTATTTATTTATAGTACCAGTCAAAAGTTTGGACACACCTACTCACTCCAGGGTTTTTATTTATTTTTACTATTTTCTACATTGTAGAATAATAGTGAAGACATCAACACTATGAAATAACACAAATGGAATCATGTAGTAACCAAAAAAGTGTTAAACAAATCAAAATATATTTTATATTTGAGATTCTTCAAAGTAGCCACCCTTTGCCTTGATGACAGCTTTGCATTCTCTCAACCAGCTTCATGAGGTAGTCACCTGGAATGCATTTCAATTAACAGGTGTGCCTTGTTTAAAGTTAATTTGTGGAATTTCTTTCCTCCTTAATGCGTTTGAGCAAATCAGTTGTGTTGTGACAAGGTAGGGGTGGTATACAGAAGATAGCCCTATTTGGAAAAAGTCCATGTTATGGCAAGAACAGCTCAAATAAGCAAAGAGAAACGACAGTCCATCATTACTTTAAGACATGAAGGTTAGTCAATCCCGAAAATGTCAAGAACATTGAAAGTTTCTTCAAGTGCAGTCGCAAAAACCTAGCGCTATGATGAAACTGGCTCTCATGAGGACCGCCACAGGAAAGAAAGACCCAGAGTTACCTCTGCTGCAGGGGATACGTTCATTAGAGTTACCAGCCTCAGAAATTGCAGCCCAAATAAATGCTTCACAGAGTTCGAGTCACAGACACATCTCAACATCAACTGTTCAGAGGAGACTGCGTGAATCAGTCCTTCATGGTCGAATTGCTGCAAAGAAACCACTACTAAAGGACACCAATAATAAGAAGAGACTTGCTTGGGCCAAGAAACACGAGCAATGGACATTAGACCGGTGGAAATCTATCCTTTGGTCTGATGAGTCCAAATTTGAGATTTTTGGTTCTAACCGCCGTGTCTTTGTGAGATGCAGAGTAGGTGAACGGATGATCTCCACATGTGTGGTTCCCACCGTGTAGCATGGAGGAGGAGGTGTGATGGTGTGGGGGTGCTTTGCTGGTGACACTGTAGGTGATTTGTTTAGAATTCAAGGCACACTTAACCAGCATGGCTACCATGCCATCCCATCTGATTTGCGCTTAGTGGGACTATCATTTGTTTTTAAACAGGACAATGACCCAACACACCTCCAGGCTGTGTAAGGGCTATTTGACCAAGAAGGAGAGTGATGGAGTGCTGCATCAGATGACCTGGCCTCCACAATCACACGACCTCAACCCAATTGAGATGGTTTGGGATGAGTTAGACCGCAGAGTGAAGAAAAAGCCGCCTACAAGTGCTCAGCATATGTGGGAACTCCTTCAAGACTGTTGGAAAAGCATTCCAGGTGAAGCTGGTTGAGAGAATGCCAAGAGTGTGCAAAGTTGTCATCAAGGATACTTTGAAGAATCTAAAATATAAGTAACACTTTTTTGGTTACTACATGATTCCACATGTTATTTCATTGTTTTGACGTCTTCACTATTATTCTACAATGTAGAAAATAGTAAAAATAAAGAAAAACCCTTGAATGAGTAGGTGTGTCCAAACTTCTTACTGGTACTGTATATAAATACATACATACATACAGTGCCTTCGGAAAGTATTCAGACCCCTTGACTTTTTCCACATTTTGTTACGTTAGTCTTATTCAAAAATTGATTTAAATTGTTTTAATCAGACAATACCCCATAATAACACATTTTTGCTAATGTATACAAAAATAAAAAAGGGAATACGACATTTACATAAGTATTCAGACCCTTTACTCAGTACTTTGTTTAAGCACCTTTGGCAGTGATTAGAGCATCGATTATTCTTGGGTATGACGCTACAAGCATGGCACACCTGTATTTGGGGAGTTTCTCCCATTCTTCTGTGCAGATCCTCTCAAGCTCTGTCAGGTTGAATGGGGAGCGTTATTGCACAGCTATTTTCAGGTCCCTCCAGAGATGTTAGATCGGGTTCAAGTCCAGGCTCTGGCTGGGCCACTCAAGGACCTTCAGAGACTTGTCCCGAAGCCACTCCTGCATTGTCTTTGCTGTGTGCTTAGGGTCGTTGTCCTTTAGAAAGGTGAACCTTCGACCCAGTCTGAGATCCTGAGCGCTCTGGAGCAGGTTTTCATCAAGGATCTCTCTGTACTTTGCTCCGTTCATCTTTGCCTCGATCCTGACTAGTCTCCCAGTCCCTGCCGCTGAAAAACATCCCCACGGCATGATGCTGCTACCACCATGCTTCACCGTAGAGATGGTGGCCAGGTTTCCTCCAGACGTGACGCTTCGCATTCAGGCCAAAGAGTTCAATCTTGGTTTCATCAGAGCAGAGAATGTTGTTTCTCATGGTCTGAGAGTCTTTAGATGCCTTTTGGCAAACTCCAAGTGGGCTGTCATGTGCCTTTTACTGAGGAGTTGCTTCCGTCTGGCCACTCTACCATAAAGGCCTGATTGGTGGAATGCTGCAGAGATGGTTGTACTTCTGGAAGTTCTCCCATCTCCACAGAGGAACTCTAGAGCTCTGTCAGAGTGACCATCAGGTTCTTGGTCACCTCCCTGACCAAGGCCCTTCTCCCCCGATTGGCCAGCTCTAGGAAGAGTCTTGGTGGTTCCAAACTTCTTCCATTTAAGAATGATGGAGGCCACTGTGTTCTTGGGGACCTTCAATGCTGCAGAAATGTTTTGGTACCCTTCCCCAGATCTGTGCCTCGACACAATCCTGTCTCGGAGCTCTACGGACAATTCCTTCGACCTCATGGCTTGGTTTCTGTTCTGACTTGGTTTGCACTGTTAACTGTGGGACTTTATATAGACAGGTGTGTGCCTTTCCAAATCATGTCCAATCAATTTGTAGAAACATTTCAAGGATGATCAATGGAAACAGGATGCACCTGAGCTCAATTGTGAGTCTCATTTTGTTTACATTTGCACAACTTTCTAAAAACCTTTCACTTTGTCATTATGGGGTATTGTGTGTAGATTGCTGAGGATTTGTATTTATTTAATCCATTTTAGAATAAGGCTGTAACATAACAAAATGTGAAAAATGTAAAGGGGTCTGAATATTTTCTGAAGGCTCGCTCTGTCTGTCTGTCTGTCACTCACTCACTCACGACAAACACTAGTTATGGAAGGGCTGTTTGGTCACCCTAATGAATTGACTCACAGCAGGGACAGGGATTAATTCCCTCTTTCTATCTCTTTCTTTCTATCTCTCTCATTCATCTCACATATTGACTCTTGTCTGCCTCTCTCTTAGGGATGTCTTGCCATTCACTCTAAAGCTTCCTGAAGCCATCTCTGCAGCCAGGACGCCAACAGACTTGGAGGAGGTGGCCAAGCTAGGAGCAGGTGAGTGTCCACTAGACTGATACTGTACATTTGTATCGATAATGCATATCTGAAGCATGAAGATTAAAAGTGTAACCTCACTCTGTAGCTGGATGGTCATTGACTACCTGCTAGTTGACTGTAGTCGCTTTAGAAAAGTTTTGTGAGTACCTTAGGTCTAATCCCACATGCGTTCTGTTTAAAACCAAGCAAATGTTCTTCTTCTGGCTGTTCTTGTAAATCACATTTAACCACATTTCTCCAAGTTAAATTAGTAAAAGCCCAAAATGACATGGCTCCATGAGTCACCCATAGGAACAATGCCTCTCTGAGGCCCAAATCAGTGCTGCTTGGCTGGGCACATGATCAGGGGAGCACTGGAGCCCTGGAACCCTGAGTAGGCCTCACTGTGGTCTTAGACCTCTAACTCAGTCACTGTGCAATGTGCTCTCTGTACCAAAGCTGTAATTTCGCTCTGCATCTGAAAGAGCCAATGTATAGGCCTATACTAGCCTTGTTGACACACTGATTTGATAACATACTTCCTTTGGTGTGGTTTCGAGTGATCTTCACACACAACAGGCCCACTGTGTAGCTTTTCCCTCTGATGAACATGAGGAGACTGCATTGAGACTTAAACAATGCTTGGGTTTGTCTGTGTGTTGAGGTAGATGCGCGTCAGTGAAGGTTCACATGGATTTGAATGACGTTCATATAGGTGACCATGCTCGATGAGCCGTGTGTAGGTAGGCTATGTCGCGTCACTAAAATATGGCTTTGGACATAACAAAAGACACCAGTGCTGAGTTATGACGTCTGGATCGGTAACCGTACCTGTGACATGGGTCTGATTCAATACAGTGGGGCTGTGTCAATCTATGCTTCAGAGAAAGTATACTTTCTTTCATTCTGTCTGTCTATTCAGCCATTTGTCTGGTTAACAGACCAGCAGAAGATGAGTTTGATTGAAAAAGAAGTGCACAGTAGCTGGACATACTAGCAGATGCTTGATAAATACGTTTTTCAAGCAGTGAACCATTAGCAGACATTTCTCTTTCTTTACCAAGAGGCTGAACTTTGGCAGTATTTATTCACTCTGTCATCAGCTGCCTGTATTTCAGGTTTCGCTCGCCTCATAGTCCTCAGCTCACCCTAGATTTTCCCAGCTGACAGTTTTAGACCAGAACATTTCCTCATTAGGCCACACCCTCCCAGTGCCTCAGGTGTGTTACCTGTGAGACAAGATTATCAAATAATGTAGCTAGCTAGCTAGTGTAACCAACTCGCTGTCATCAACAACACCAGGCACAGTCTCCACGTTTGAACGTGTGTCTAGAGTTGGATGTAATCCAGATCCTGGCCATCTGATTGTTTAACAACTTTACGGAAGCCCATTTTCACTAGAGTAACTATTTTCCGATCAATATGTGCATTGCAGATTAAGCTACTGCCAAAGATACACTGTGTTGTCTGGTGAATTAGTTTCGCATGGCCCGATTTGCCGGTGTGTGGGTTTGCTCCTTTAAAACCATTCCATTGGTCTTCCTAAGGAGAGGTGCCTGCCTGCCCGGGGTACCTGGCCATGCAAAGCGAACTTGCCCAGTCTTTTCCCAGAAAATGTGGTGCCACCACGTGTTAATAGGCAAAAGAGGGCATGAATTGTTGATATAATTGTAATCTAAAACAACCCCCACATGACGTATTCACTTGCCAAACTCCATTTTGGATGAGACTTTATGACCAAAATTATCCTATCCTATTTACACATTGTAGTCAATTTTGACACCTATAATTAATGTTTCTGACTCATATGGATGCCACACAGGCCGTTTAAAACCAGAGGGAAGAGTGCCCCCTACTGGCCCTCCAATACCACTTCCAGCAGTATCTGGTCTCACATCCAGGGATTGACCAGCACCGACCCTGCTTAACTTCAGAGGCAAGCCAGCAGTGGGATGCAGGGTGGTATGCTGCTGCCACCACGTCTTCTCAGAACTTTTATCAGAAATATCAAAGATCAAATACCACTGTGCTATCGTTGACAACGAACAAAAATGGACTGTAAAAGTAACTGATTCAGAAAACGGAAGAGCTGCTTAATGAAACAATAACGACGAACAAAAATTGACTGTAAAAGTAACTGATTCAGAAAACTAAGAGCTGCTTAATGAAAGAATAACGAAAAACAGCAAAGAAAAATAAGTCTGGAGGAGGAGTGGGGTAGGAAAAACCTTGACTGAGAGCTGGCGCGCGAGTGAGGGAGTGACTGGGGGAGGAGAGAATGCTGTGTTGACATTCAGCCCCTACGTACTCATTTAGCATGTGTGAGTCATAACATAGTCAGTGTGTGAGACAAGACAGCAAGGCTGGACAGAGGCAGCAGTGTGCTCTAAAGTTCTCACACTAGTAAAACTACGATAAGCTCAAATCGGAGCTGGTCTTTGTCTGCTGTAAATTGATGTGAGTACAGTAAGTCAATGTTTCTCTGCTCTTACATTGTGATGTGACCGTTGGCTGTGTCTGGTACGGCTTTGTCTTTTATTGTTCTATAGAGTCTGTCTAGTACAGCTCTGTTGTATGAGCACTTCAGTTGGACGTGTCTCATATAGCAGTAGGTTTAGTTCTGTCATAGAGTATCATTGTTTTGGTATATGGCTTTGGTTGCTAAGTCGGTGTCTGTGTACAGTAGTGTCCAGCGATGTTCTTCGTAAATCCTTTATGGTTATATCGTACTGATTGGAACGTTTCTGTTTTGGCATTATGCCGGTATGGTTGTATTTATTTGCAACAATGCTCTTGTGATGTAGCTAATAGGCACTGGCAACGTGGTATGATAACAGTAGCTTAATTGACTCGATGGTGTTATGTTGATGTGTATTGACATTGTTGTGTCTACTTCTTCTCAGTAGCTGCATCAGTGTTAATATCAGGCTATTGTAGCCTCGATTTAAAAGGGATAGTTCAGGATTTATCTACTTCCCCAGAGTCAGATTAACTCCTCGATACCATTCAATTTGTATGTATCTGCTCCAGTGGACATTTTAGCATGTAAATCTTGGTGGGGCAAACTCAAACATAAAAAAAAAAAAATGCATGCCCACAACACAACACTAAACAATTCATTAATTGCACTATGACAGTGACAAACGGTGCACACAAACTGTTAGGACCAACAGCAGTCCCAACACCTTAACACTGCTACACCTGGCTATCAGCAGATCCTTGACTGGCAGCAAAACACTTTCAGCTGATTTGGCTGACTTGCTTAAACAAATGTGGTTTCTACTGACAATTGAGATGTACAAACTATGGCATAAGGGGACGACGAGCGGATAAGAGGCAATCTGTAATTTCGATTAAGACATTAATGAGCGAGCTAGGACGGACGTAGTCAATATAACTATTTGTTCAGCACTTTTGAAATGTACAGCGACAGAATTCAGAACATGGGCTGTTCTTACAGTATTGTCCCTGTACACCAAGTCAGAACCATAGGATAAATAAAGGGGGCATATAAACAGACAATGAAAGCTCTTACAATATTCGATTATGCCATTTCTCTAAAATAGGTTATAGGCTACATGTTCACCACCAAGTCAGAACAGAAGGTGAAATTAAGAATGGGAAAGGGACCAAATTATTAGGGTGAGGCACATTGGTTACTAACATAGCTACAGTATACATATCTCCCTGGCATATTACATCATTTATACAGCAGCATACAATACATTTATGGACTCACCTTGTTGTGCGGCGGTCCTTTGTGGGCAAATTTAGTCATCAAACTTTGCCATCAAAGTCTGGCATTCTCTGGATTTATGGTGCTTTCAAGACAACTGGGAACTCTAAAAACAAAAAAACAAGGCCAAATCATGACGTCAGTGATCTTCAGGTCGGAGCTCTAGAAAGAGGCCCGAGTTCCCGACTTGCAATTCTGAGTTGGATGACCGTTCAAAACTTATTTTCCCAGTCAGAGCTCGTTTTTTTCCAGAGTTCCGAGTTTCCAGTTTTGAACGTGGCAGAAGTCATGCTGGATTGACAGCATGGCCAATGTTGAATGTTTATAATTTTTTTGTTTGTTTTTGTACCCCTCTTTTTCTCCCCAATTTTGTGATATCCAATTGCGATCTTGTCTCATCGCTGCAACTCCCTAACGGGCTCGGGAGAGGCGAAGGTCGAGTCATGCGTCCTCCGAAACATGACCCGCCAAACCGCGCTCCATAACACCCGCCCGCTTAACCCGGAAGCACTAATGTGTCGGAGGAAACACCGTTCAACTGACGACCGAAGTCAGTCTGCAGGCGCCCGGCCCGCCACAAGGAGTCGCTAGAGCGCGATGAGCCAAGTAAAGCCCCCCCCCTGCCTTACTCAAGAAAGCAAAAAAGAGACCATGTTTGTATGCGGCTTTATTAACTCAATGATTTATTTTTATTTGTATTGTTTGAAAACTGACGTGACCCATATTAATACGAAAATAACATGAAAAACATATTTATTTAGCTGAACAGGTGGGGCTCAAATCAGGTGCCCTGAATGACGGGTCGCCACTGATCTGCTCCAATATGAGGGAAGTTACAGGTAGTTTCGCGAGCCAATGCTAGCTGTTCCTGTAGACTTCCAGTCATTGCGCTAAAGAATGTTAGCAACTTCTGAATGCAGAGACATAAAAATGGTATCCACAAATTCATCTTATACTGGGGAAGTACAGTACCAGTCAAAAGTTTGAACACACCTACTCATTCCAGGGTTTTTCTTTATTTGTACTGTTTCTCTACGTTGTAGAATAATAGTGAAGATATCAAAACTATGAAATAACACATATGGGATCATGTAGTAACCAAAGAAGTGTTAAACAAATCAAAATATATTTTATATTTGAGATTCTTCAAATAGCCACCCTTTGCCTTGATGACAGCTTTGCACACTCTTGGCATTCTCTCAACCAGCTTCATGAGGTAGTCACCTGGAATGCATTTCGATTAACAGGTGTGCCTTGTTAATTTGTGGAATTTATTTCCTTAATGCGTTTGAGCTAATCCGTTGTGTTGTGACAAGGTAGGGGTGGTATACAGAAGATAGCCCTATTTGGTAAAAGTCCATATTATGGCAAGAACAGCTCAAACGACAGTCCATCATTACTTTAAGACGTGAAGGTCAGTCAATCCGAAAATTCAAGAACTTTGAAAGAAACCATCAAGCGCTATGATGAAACTGGTTCTCATGAGGACCACCACAGGAAAGGAAGACCCAGAGTTACCTCTGCTGCAGAGGATAAGTTCATTAGAGTTACCAGCCTCAGAAATTGCAGCCCAAATTAATGCTTCACAGAGTTCAAGTAACAGACACATCTCAACATCAACTGTTCAGAGGAGACTGCGTGAATCAGGCCTTCATGGTCGAATTGCTGCAAAGAAACCACTACTAAAGGATACCAATAAGAAGAGACTTGTTTGGGCCAAGAAACGCGAGCAATGGACATTAGACTGGTGGAAATCTGTCCTTTGGTCTGATGAGTCCAAATTTGAGATTTTTGGTTCCAACCGCTGTGTCTTTGTGAGACGCAGAGTAGGTGAACGGATGATCTCTGCATGTGTGGTTCCCACAGTGAAGCATGGAGGAGGAGGTGTGGGGGTGCTTTGCTGGTGACACTGTCAGTGATATATTTAGAATTCAAGGCACACTTAACCAGCACGGCTACCACAGCATTCTGCAGCGATACGCCATCCCATCTGGTTTGGGCTTAGTGGGACTATCATTTCTTTTTCAACAGGACAATGACCCAAAACACACCTCCAGGGCTATTTGACCAAGGAGAGCGATGGAGTGCTGCATCAGATGACCTGGCCTCCACAATCACCCGACCTCAACCCAATTAACATGGTTTGGGATGAGTTGGACCGCAGAGTGAAGGAAAAGCAGCCAACATATGTGGGAACTCCTTCAAGACTGTTGGTAAAGCATTCCAGGTGAAGCTGGTTGAGAGAATGCCAAGAGTGTGCAAAGCTGTCATCAAGGCAAAGGGTGGCTATTTTGAAGAATCTCAAATATATTTTGATTTGTTTAACACTTTTTTGGTTACTACATGATTCCATATGTGTTATTTCATAGTTTTGCTGTCTTCACTATTTTTCTACAATGTAGAAAATAGTAAAAATAAAGAAAAACCCTTGAATGAGTAGGTGTGTCCAAACTTTTGACTGGTACTGTATATAAAGGGCCTCATTGCCAAAATCCTGAACTATCCATTTAATGTAGAACAGTTACTTTGTGTTGATATTATATTACAGTATCATGTTACCCTGATGTTTCGCTGTTGTGTAATATCAGGATGACTCCGACAGCGTTTGACCAGTAATGTTATTGTGAGTTAGGTAATGTTGCCGTAATATTGGCATGATGTTAATGTAAAGTTAGTGTTATGTTACAGTAATGTTGCTGTTTTAGTGTCTGATCCTCTCTCTCTCCTGCAGGATTCTGTGACTCTGAACATTGCCGTAGGAGGAGTTCTGTCTCCTGGTTGTCCAGGACAACCACCCACGACCAATCACCTAGCCTGAGGCAGAGATCTGTTTCCACACCCCTGGTCACCCGCACCCCGTCCCAGCTGGAGTGTTCCCAGTCCAATAGGGCTCTCTGCTTCATCAACCCCCTTTTCCTAAAGGTTCACCACCCAGAGGGGGGCAACCACACCCCTCCCTCCTCCACCAGCCACAACAACAACCCCCAGCACCTAAACAACAACAGTACAACTACAGCTACAACTGTACACGTACAACAACAGCACTGTACCAGCAACCCAGAGCAACTTAACGACAGCCCTCAACCCCATAGCGACAGCCCTCAGAGTGATAGCCCTGGCAACAGCCCCCAGCATCATAACAGCTGTGTAAGTGTGAGCGTGAGCCTGGCTAACAGAGTTTCCCGCCCGCCACCTCCTCGCCCCCCACCTCCCTGCTGTGCCCCCCTTCGCCCTGCCTCCCCTCAACGGCCAGCACAGCATGCCTGAGAAGATATCCTGGATCAACCCGCCCAAAGAGCCGGAGAGGGTGGGAGAGAGGGAGAAAGGAGGAGAGGGAGAAAGGAGGAGAGAGGGAGAAGGGCAGTAGACTTCTCTCCCGCCTGGGCTCCTCTCTCAGCATCAGCCCTTCCTCTCCTTTCCTCTCCTCCTCTTCCTCTTTCCTCTCATCCACCCCTCCCAAGAAGCTCAGCATCAGTGCCCCCATCTCCATCCCCCTGTCCCTCCCCTCCCCAAGTGACGTCGACTGCCATCTTGCTCTCGATGACCAGACTATTGAGAATGCCATATCTCTCAGTCTGGCTAAGCTGTCACTGAGAAACACCACCACCCCCGATGACAACACAGAGGGAAACAGTCCGTCCACTCAAGACCAAGCCCGCACCCGCCGAGAGGAAGGAGGAGGAAGTGGAAGAGGCGGAAGAGAAGGGGACTGCGTCCAGCGCCTGAGCGACATGAGCCTTTCCACCGACTCCTCCACTGACTCAGTAGACTTGTCCCAGGGCTTCTTCCCCCCACTCCCTGAACCCAGCCCACCCACCACCAATAACCTGGTGCTGCCCCTCCTCACCCACCCCTACAGCAGCATGGAGGAAGACGATGATGACGAAGACGAAGCGGACTTCGGCGTGAGCCTGGAGAACGACCAAGACCAGGACCTGACCCTCACCCCTCCCGGGCTGCGCACCAAACGGCGAGCCAGTGCCGGGGCCATGGTCATCCAGCGGGCCCTCAGGGGCCACCTCCGTAAGATGAGTGGAATGTTCAACTCCCTCCTAACCCCTGAGAAACGGGCCATACAGAGAGTCCTGGAGCTGTCCAGGGATAAGGGCTCATACTTTGGCTGCCTAGTGCAGGACTACCTGAGCTTCCTGCAGGAGGGAGGGGGCAGCCAGGCCTGGCAGTGCCACACTTCAGGGCTGGAGCTGCTGCAGACGCTACGCCAGTTTATCACCCAGATGAAGAGCTACCTGCGGCAGAGCTCTGAGCTGGAGCCCCCCATCGAGTCACTCATCCCAGAGGACCAAATCGGTGAGTGGGGAGGGGTGTGTGCAAATATGTGTTTTTTATGTTGTCAAATAGTAGCAGAAATGTTGTATATCAGACCAATTAATGTTGATTACTGTTGCTAGTTGCTAATTTGCTAGACGTCACAGTAAAAATGTACGTTGAACTTCGAAGTTGTTCCATTGTCATCTTTGAAATGGTTAATTAGTTGACATTGCCACAACCAAACAGCTAATGAAAATATTAAACTATCAGATATGAAAATATACAAACTGGACAAGACTGTGTATGCCTATAGACAGGGCGAGAGCAGCTCAGTATGCAAGTCTGTACGCATGTGTGTGTGAGCTGGCCATTGTGGTCAGGATGATATATTTTTGTACCTTGATTTTGACAGGGAAGTCCTGTATCAAATCTACACCAATATATACACGAAAAGCAAAACATAATCATAGAAAACAAACACATTCTTCACTAAAAAGGTCCTCAGACTTTTGAATTGCCGTAGAGGCACCAATTCATCCAATTTTAGAGAGCCTTGGAGATTATTCCACAAGTAAGGTGCAAAAACACTAAAAGCAGATTTATGTAACTCCGTGGAGATGGAAGGGATCTCCAGAGTTAGCCATCCCCGATACCGGGTCTGGTATCTCATACATCTCTGTAAGCAACAATGAAGTAAGGTACGGCGAAAGTTCATGCAGAAGGGCTTTATAAACAAGAAGAGTGCAATGCATCGATCTACGAGACTTCAAAGAGGGCCAGCCTACTTTTTGATACAGAATGCAGTGATGTGTACTGAACCAATTTACAGTTCTTTGTAACACTGGCATGTCAAACACCTGCCTAGGGGAGGGGCTTAAAAATAGGCCAAGGTATTCATGTGTGGGCATTATTGGGGTTGGAAACTGGCTCAAATTGTAAACAGTGAAAACAAAGCCTTTTTCGGCTAGAGGATAATTCTGTGAACTAGCTAACATGAACTAACCTGTTCCCACTGGTCCTTTGGAAAGCGTTGGCAGGGGAAGAAGACAGAATATTGTGAAGCAGTAACACACATGGGAGGCATCTTTGATCCATGCACAACCATTCTCCTGTTTGCCAGGAACAATCATCAGAGCGATGTCACTCTTTAAGACAAAGACAGTAAATCATTCTGGTTTCTTAAATATTCTTGATTGACAACTAATCTAAGAATTTCATAGGCTACATCACAATTACTTTTTCTGCAGTGTTTGATATCGGAGTTGTTTCGCAATGTATTTGTAGCAGCAGAAAGTGTTTTCAGTTTAGCTGAATGAATTCTCTCTCCAGATGTGCTTCAGTGGCTGTTTGCCATGTAGGCACCCTCTCCCATGTGACCATTACTTCTCTTCGCTCTCCTCTTTCTATCCCTCTCTCCATCTCTCCCACTCCTCCAATCACAGATAAAACCTTTATTGCGAGCCCCTAAATCTCTCTCCCTCTTTTTCTCTCCCTCTCTTACTGTGTTGACAACACTCGCATATGTCTCTGGGTGTGTGAGGAAAGAGCATGGAGAGAGGAGAATGGGGACCCTTGTCTCTTTAACCAACATAGCAGTTTTTTTCCTTCTATTGCCTTCATTTCTATGCTCAGTGCCAAGTTGAGCAATATAATGTTTTGAAGCTCTGTTTGTGAGGAGTTTGCGGAAGGGAGACGTTATTGCCCAATTCCAAATGGAATGTTTGCGCTGTGTGTGTTTGCTGCTCTTTGACGCACATTGAGGCTATATGTCACTGTGGTGGCACGATCAGTGTGGGATGTGTGAATGGATTCACTTCTCCTCTCCAGCTCTGTCTGCCTGTTTGTCTACTTGCCTGTACATAACAGTACATAACTCAGGTCCACGTGGAAGCTCTGCAGGGAGGATGTTTTGAGTGAGATTAGGGGCGAGGGAGGATGTTTTTGTGGGAGGATGTTTATTGGAAGTGGAAGGGCCCTCTTAGATAGTACAAACTGCATGTTTGCATAAGTTTGTGTGGTTGGAAAGTAGCCCCCCCATAAATAAGTGTGTGACCTTGGCTGGTGATAACTCATTCCTAAGTGGGCTTGCGCCTCTGTGTCTCTATCTGTCCTCTCTGTCACACCATACCACACCACTCATCACTTACTTACTGTAGGTGTAACCGGTGTGAAATGGCTAGCTATTTAGCAGTGCGCGCTAGTAGCGTTTCAATTGGTGACGTCACTCGCTCTGAGACCTTGAAGTAGTTGTTTCCCTCTCCTTGCCCCAACCTGGGCTTTTGTGGAGCAATAGTTCATTATGCTTCGAGGGTGACTATTGTCGATGTGTGCAGAGGGTCCCTGGTTCAAGCCCAGGTTGGGGCAAGGAGAGGGACAGAAGCAATACTGTTTACATAGGGTCAACACACATTGACCTCCCAACTTCTCTAAAGACTAGTGATGGGGGAAAAATCTATACAGTTACATATCGGGATATAACTTTCTGACAATATATCGTATAGTTTTGACAATATTGCAATATTATTTTAAAGCTAGTTGGCTGTACCAGAACTCCAGTATTTTTCCTTCATACCTTGTTCTCCATCTTCTTTTTAAATAGGGAGCCGATTCATTTTCAGCACTTTTTTCCCCATGACCGATCAAAACTCGTTTTCTCATGGCTCTCTCTTGTCCCTGCAGCAGACATATGGTGAGCAATATGTTTGGAACATCGAAATCACAGTATCGAATCGCAATACATATGGTATCGGCACCTAAGTATTGTGATTGTATCGTGATAATATTGTATTGTGATGTCCCTGGCAATTCCCAGCACTACTAAAGCATTTACACATCTAGCATGTGCTATAGCCTATAAGCCATACAGTGAGGGGAAAAAAGTATTTGATCCCCTGCTGATTTTGTACGTTTGCCCACTGACAAAGACATGATCAGTCTATAATTTTTATGGTAGGTTTATTTGAACAGTGAGAGACAGAATAACAACAAAAAAATCCAGAAAAACGCATGTCAAAAATGTTATAAATTGATTGCATTTTAATGAGGGAAATAAGTATTTGACCCCTCTGCAACATTTTACATTTACATTTTAGTAGACGCTCTTATCCAGAGCGACTGTATGCGAGTGCATACATTTTTATTTTATTTTTTTCATACTGGCCCCCCATGGGAATCGAACCCACAACCCTGGCATTGCAAACACCATGCTCTACCAACTGAGCTACATCCCTGCCGGCCATTCCCTCCCCTACCCTGGACCAATTGTGCGCCGCCCCATGGGTCTCCCGGTCGCGGCCGGCTACGACAGAGCCTGGATTCGAACCAGGATCTCTAGTGGCACAGCTAGCACTGCGATGCAGTGCCTTAGACCACTGCGCCACATGACTTAGTACTTTGTGATTGCCAACAAGGGTTTTGCCACCGAGGTCAGACGTTTCTTGTAGTTGGCCACCAGGTTTGCACACATCTCAGGAGGGATTTTGTCACACTCCTCTTTGCAGATCTTCTCCAAGTCATTAAGGTTTTGAGCCTGACGTTTGGCAACTCGAACCTTCAGCTCCCTCCACAGATTTTTAACGGGATTAAGGTCTGGAGACTGGCTAGGCCACTCCAGGACCTTAATGTGCTTCTTCTTGAGCCACTCCTTTGTTGCCTTGGCCGTCTGTTTTGGGTCATTGTCATGCTGGAATACCCATCCACGACCCATTTTCAATGACCTGGCTGAGGGAAGGAGGTTCTCACCTAAGATTTGACGGTACATGGCCCCGTCCATCGTCCCTTTGATGCGGTGAAGTTGTCCTGTCCCCTTAGCAGAAAAACACCCCCAAAGCATAATGTTTCCACCTCCATGTTTGACGGTGGGGATGGTGTTCTTGGCGTCATAGGCAGCATTCCTCCTCCTCCAAACACGGCGAGTTGAGTTGATGCCAAAGAGCTCGATTTTGGTCTCATCTGACCACAACACTTTCACCCAGTTCTCCTCTGAATCATTCAGATGTTCATTGGCAAACTTCAGACGGGCCTGTATATGTGCTTTCTTGAGCAGGGGGACCTTGTGGGCGCTGCAAGATTTCAGTCCAATTGTTTTCTTGGTGACTATAATAATAATAATATAATATGCCATTTAGCAGACGCTTTTATCCAAAGCGACTTACAGTCATGCGTGCATACATTTTTTTTTTTGTGTAAGGGTGGTCCCGGGGATCGAACCCACTACCTTGGCGTTACAAGCGCTGTGCTCTACCAGCTGAGCTACAGAGGACCACTATGGTCCCAGCTAACTTGAGATCATTGACAAGATCCTCCTGTGTAGTTCTGGGATGATTCCTCACCATTCTCATGATCATTGCAACTCCACGAGGTGAGATCTTGCATGGAGCCCCAGGCCGAGGGAGATTGACAGTTATTTTGTGTTTCTTCCATTTGCGAATAATCGCACCAACTGTTGTCACCTTCTCACCAAGCTGCTTGGCGATGGTCTTGTAGCCCATTCCAGCCTTGTGTAGGTCTACAATCTTGTCCCTGACATCCTTGGAGAGCTCTTTGGTCTTGGCCATGGTGGAGAGTTTGGAATCTGATTGATTGATTGCTTCTGTGGACAGGTGTCTTTTTATACAGGTAACAAACTGAGATTAGGAGCACTCCCTTTAAGAGTGTGCTCCTAATCTCAGCTTGTTACCTGTATAAAAGACACCTGGGAGCCAGAAATCTTTCTGATTGAGAGGGGGTCAAATCCTTCTTTCCCTCATTAAAATGCAAATCAATTTATAACATTTTTGACATGCGTGTTTCTGGATTTTCTTGTTGTTATTCTGTCTCTCACTGTTCAAATAAAACGACCATTAAAATTATAGACTGATCATTTCTTTGTCAGTGGGCAAACGTACAAAATCAGAAGGGGATCAAATACTTTTTTCCCTCACTTAGGCCGGTTTAACAACTGCATTAGTAGGCCTACAATACAGGATTACATGCTAACACTCCATGGTTACATGTTATTACATTCCACAGTCCTAATGACAAGAGTTATGAGCAGTACCAGTATGTAAGGAAGTACGGTAGCTGGAGGCTACCGTACTTTCCAGCGGAAATGGAAAAACAAGGCCACGGGGGATTAGGTTTGCGTGCGTGCGTGTGTACATATGTGCTCCCGCTGGGAAACACATGCGCTGAGCCCTACTGCAGGCCTGAGGTCTTGAAATGCTGGCACTGCATTCCAGGGCTTTTAACCACTTTAACAGAACTATATGGTACCAGGCTTGCTCTACCTCTGTCCCTTCCCTGTCTTTTCCGTGCAGAGACGGAGAGAGGCTGACTTCATAAAAGATGACAGGGTGCTATCCAAGTTGATGTGTGTGCTTTGAAATCTGATTGATTGCCAGTGAAGTGTCACAAGTCTGGTTTAACCAGTTGGTTAGTTATACTGCTTACTGGAAAATAATTTTGATAATGATACAGTGATGTAACACCTACAAGGAAATGTGTTGCTTATCTTGACTTACGGAACAAGGAAGAAAGACTTGTTGATACGCACATTCTGAGACTGAGTCGTAACTTGGGACTAGAGACTCACCCCTGACAAAATCTGCCACAGGGGAAAGGAAAGAAAGAAAAGTGGGTGTTGAAAATTCAGTGTTGGAGGAAGCTGTGGCTCAGTCTGCAGATCTTCTGTATAATCCTGCTGAGTTTGCCCCATTCAACTGCACAGTCAGTACTATCTCTCTCTGTGGGGCTTATTCAGCTCTATGGCTTGGACTCCCTCTCTGCATTAATCCTGTGTGTATTATGATACCATGGCTCCTATTAGCCAGTCTCTTTGTGTAAACTTGTAAAAGCTGAGGTCTACATAATGTCTTGATGACATGATATGGATTGAATCCCACTCCTACTGCTACCAGTAATCTAGTAAGACTTCAGCAATTCATTCATCATACAGATGGATGGTGCCTTTTCAGTATTTGCTGTTAAAATAATAGTATCTTTCTCCCGCTCTCCCCCATACAGACTATGTCCTAGAGAAGGCCATGCATAAGATAGTCCTGAAGCCCCTGAAAGGTGTGGTGGGGGCGGCCCTCCAGGAGTTCCAGGTCCGCAGCGGGGTGTGGCAGGAGCTCAAGGAGAACCTCTCATTGGCCAAGGCCCGGCAGCCCCAGGAAATGGGCGTGGCCATCGCCTTCCCTCCAGATCCAGTTGCCATAGAGAAAATCCGGCACAAGTTCCACACCATGTGTAAACTCTATTCACCTGAGAGGAAGGTGACCATGCTGCTGCGCGTGTGTAAACTCATCTATACCATCATGGAGGACAAATCAGGTACATAGTAACACACGTACAGTGCCTTCGGAAAGTATTCAGACCCCTTGACTTTTTCCACATTTTGTTAAGTTACAGCCTTATTCTAAAATTAATTACATTGTTTTTTTCTACACACAATACCCATAATGACAAAGCAAAAACAGGATTTTAGAAATGTTTGCTAATGTATATACAGTACCAGTCAAAGGTTTGGACACACCTACTCATTGTAGAATAATAGTGAAGATATCAAAACTATGAAATAACACACATGGAATCATGTAGTAACCAAAAAAGTGTTAAAAAATCAAAATATATTTTATATTTGAGATTCTTCAAAGTAGCCACCCTTTGCCTTGATGACAGCTTTGCACACTGTTGGCATTCTCTCAACCAGCTTCATGAGGTAGTCACCTGGAATGCATTTCAATTAACAGCTGTGCCTTGTTAAAAGTTAATATGTGGAATTTCTTTCCATAATGCGTTTGAGCCAATCAGTTGTGTTGTGACAAGGTAGGGGTGGTATATATATTTGGTAAAATACCAAGTCCATATTATGGCAAGAACAGCTCAAATAAGCAAAGAGAAATTACAGTCCATCATTACTTTAAGACATGGTCAGTCAATCTGGAAAATTTCAAGAACTTTGAAAGTTTCTTCAAATGCAGTCGCAAAAAACATCAAGCGCTATGATGAAACCGGATCTCATGAGGACCGCCACAGGAAAGGAAGACCCAGAGTTACCTCTGCTGCAGAGGATAAGTTCATTAGAGTTAACTGCACCTCAGATTGCAGCCCAAATAAATGCTTCACAGAGTTCAAGTAACAGACACATCTCAACATCAACTGTTCAGAGGACTGTGTGAATCAGGCCTTCATAGTCGAATTGCTGCAAAGAAACCACTAATAAAGCACACCAATAATAATAAGAAGAGACTTGCTTAGGCCAAGAAACACGAGCAATGGACATTAGACCGGTGGAAATCTGTCCTTTTGGTCTGATGAGTCCAAATTGGAGATGTTTGGTTCCAACCACCGTGTCTTTGTGAGACGCAGAGTAGGTGAATGGATGATCTCCACATGTGTGGTTCCCACCTTGAAGCATGGAGGAGGAGGTGTGATGGTGTGGGGGTGCTTTGCTGGTGACACTGTCGTGATTTGTTTAGAATTCAAGGCACACTTAAATAGCATGTCTACCACAGCATTCTGCAGCGATACGCCATCCCATCTGGTTTGCGCTTAGTGGGACTATCATTTGCTTTTCAACAGGACAATGACCAAAACACACCTCCAAGCTGTGTAAGGGCTATTTGACCAAGGAGAGTGATGGAGTGCTGCATCAGATGACTTGGCCTCCACAATCACCCGACCTCAACCCAACTGAGATGGTTTGGGATGAGTTGGACGACAGAGTGTAGGAAAAGCTTTCAACAAGTGCTCAGCATATGTGGGAACTCCTTCAAGACTGTTGGAAAAGCATTCCTCATGAAGCTGGTTGAGAGAATGCCAAGAGTGTGCAAAGCTGTCATTAAGGCAAAGTGTGGCTATTTGAAGAATCTCAAATATAACATATATTTTGATTTGTTTAACACTTATTTGGTTACTACATGATTCCATATGTGTTATTTCATAGTTTTGATGTCTTCACTATTATTCTACAATGTAAAAAATAGTTAAAATAAAGAAAAACCCTTTTAATGACTAGGTGTGTCCAAAACATTTGACTGGTACTCTATATATACAGTTGAAGTCGGAAGTTTACATACACCTTAGACAAATACATTTAAACTCAGTTTTTCACAATTCCTGACATTTAATCTTAGTAAACATTGCCTGTCTTAGGTCAGTTAGGATCACCACTTTATTTTAAGAATGTGAAATGTCAGAATAATAGTAGAGAGAATTATTTATTTCAGCTTTTATTTATTTCATAACATTCCCAGTGGGTCAGAAGTTTACATACACTCAATTAGATTTTGGTAGCATTGCCTTTAAATTGTTTAACTTGGGTGAAATGTTTCGGGTAGCCTTTCACAAGCTTGTAGGCCTCCTTGCTCGCACACGCTTTTTCAGTTCTGCCCACAAATGTTCTATAGGATTGAGGTCAGGGCTTTGTGATGGCCACTCCAATACCTTCACTTTGTTGTCCTTAAGCCATTTTGCCACAACTTTGGAAGAATGCTTGGGGTCATTGTCCATTTGGAAGACCCATTTGCGACCAAGCTTTAACTTCCTGACTGATGTCTTGTGATGTTGCTTCAATATATCCACATAATTTTCCTTCCTCATGATGCCATCTATTTTGTGAAGTGCACCAGTCCCTCCTGCAGCAAAACATCCCCACAGCATGATGCTGCCACCCCCATGCTTCACAGTTGGGATGGTGTTCTTCGGCTTGCAAGCCTTACCCTTTTTCCTCCAAACATAACAATGTTTGCACTTTTCGCACCAAAGACGTTCATCTCTAGGAGACAGAACGCGTCTCCTTCCTGAGCGGTATGATGGCTACGTGGTCCCATGGTGTTTATACTTGCGTACTATTGTTTGTACAGATGAACGTGGTACCTTCAGGCGTTTGGAAATTGCTCCCAATGATGAACTAGACTTGTGGAGGTCTACAATATTTTTTTCTGATGTCTTGGCTGATTTATTTTGATTTTCCCATGATGTCAAGCAAAGAGGCACTGAGTTTGAAGGTAGGCCTTGAAATACATCCACAGGTACTACCTGACAATTGACTCAAAATATGTAAATTAGCCTATCAGAAGCTTCTAAAGCCATGACATCATTTTCTGGAATGTTCCAAGCTGTTTAAAGGCACAGTTAACCTAGTGTATGTAAACTTCTGACCCACTGGAATTGTGATACAGTGAAATAATCTGTCTGTAAACAATTGCTGGAAAAATTACTTGTGTCATGCACAAAGTAGATGTCCTAACCGACTTGCCAAAACTTTTAATGACTCAAACCTAAGTATATGTAAACTTCCGACTTCAACTGTATATGTGTGTGATGGGATGTATAGACATTTTGGACATAATGTGGATAGAATGTTTAGCATATCTGTAGAATACATAGGATAGAATAGTATATATACAGCAATTGTTGAATAGAATGGCATTGACTAGAATACGGTATGATGGTATGAAATGAGTAAAACAGTATGTAAACATTATTAAAGTGACCAGTGTTCCATGTCTATGTACATAAAGTAGCATCCTCTGTGCAGGGTTGAGTTATCGGGTGGTAGCCGGCAAGTGACAGTGACTAAGTTCAGGGCAGGGAACTGGGTGGAGGCCGGCTAGTGATGGCTATTTAATAGTCTGATGGCCTTGAGATAGAAGTTGTTTTTCTTTCTCTCGGTCCCAGCTTTGATGCACCTGTACTGACCTCGCCTTCTGGATGATAGCTAATATCAATGCTGTGTGTGTGTCTCAGGTCATCTGTATGGGGCAGATGACTTCCTGCCCATGTTGACCTATGTGTTGGCCCAGTGTGACATGCCTCAACTAGACAACGAGATCCTCTACATGATGGAGCTGCTGGACCCCTCTCTGCTCCATGGAGAAGGTACAGCACACCCCTATCTGCTTTACATGTATTTCCTTCCTTCCTTCCTAACTAGGGGATGTAGCTCAGTTGGTAGAGCATGGCGTTTGCAACGCCAGGGTTGTGGGTTCGATAAAATAATGTATGCACTAACTGTAAGTCGCTCTGGATAAGAGCGTCTGCTAAATGACTAAATGACTAATGACTAAACTTTCCCTTCAACCATTTTATTGTCAATCGTAATGTTCAAATAAACTAAACTAAATCTTGATTGTCAGTGTTATTGACCGCTGTTGTAGCAGTGTCATGCTGCAGAGATGTTTGACCCTCCTCTCTCTCTCTCCTGTCTTGTTCCAGGTGGGTACTACCTGACCAGTGCATACGGAGCCATGTCCCTCATCAGGAACTTCCAAGAGGAGCAAGCAGCTTGTGTACTCAGTTCTGAAACACACAACACACTCCACCAGTGGCACCGTCGCCGCACCACGCAGCGCACTGTGCCCTCCGTCGATGACTTCCAGGTAACACACACACACACACACACACACACACACACACACACTGGATGCATAACTAAGTCCCTGAATAAATGCATCTGCTAAACAACAGTATCTTTTTAATTTTCCTCAGAACTACCTGCGAGTAGCGCTCCAGAAGCTGGACAGCGGCTGCACGGCCAAAACCCTGCAGGTGCAGCCCTATGCCACCACTGAGGAAATCTGCCAGATCTGCGCCTGCAAGTTTAAAGTTCCCGACCCTGAGAATTACACCCTAATCCTGCTCACTGAGGGCTCATGCCAGCAACTAGCCCCCGACACACACCCCCAGAAGATCAAAGCTGAGCTCCACAGTCGACCCCAGGCCACACCTTTTCACTTCGTCTTCTGTCGTGTGGCTAACCTCAATGACCTGCCCGTGACCTCGTTTGATCCCCAGTCCAACTTCACACTTACCACAGAATCTGAGCCCAACTTTAATGGTGTGGCCTTGACCCCTTCTGACCCCCAGCCCAATCTCAACCTGGGTCCCAGTCTCAGCCTCAGTCTACCCCCCAACCAGCACAATGGCAACTCTATATCTATCTGAGACTACAGGGCTGGAGAGTTGAAACCCCCCATCTGGACAACCGTCATTCTTACTGTACCCCAACAAAACTTGGCGAACTGTGTTTAACTGGACTGAACTGGGCCTAACTGGGTTAAGCTGAGTCATGCTGAGCTCAGCCAAAAAAAACTTCCCCTTTTGGTGATTCTTCTTTCTTGCAGGGAATCCTCTAAGTGTAAAGCTTTGTCTGAGTACAGGAGGAAAGGAGAGAAAGAGGGAAGGAAATGTGACAGATGGGGTTATTTTGCAGCTCTATTTGTAAACTTTTGGGACATGGCACACGAGGAGCACACGTGAGGGCAAACGCAACTCGAAAAAAAGATGGATAAAGGTTTTGAAATAGTCTTGTTACAGACACAGACAGTCAGTCTGTGGTCATATTCCAAAAGTGTCTGAATGTGCAGATTCAGGGTCAGTTTTTGGTTTGTTACTCCTAGTGGTGAAGCATAGGATAAGTAAAGGGAAAACCCTATCCACAGATCTGATATCAGTTAACATTTATCTGCATTGGTTCCCGTCTAGTGATGTACTTGTTCAGTCCATTAACTTTTTCTTCAGACTGAAAATGTGCCTCTTCAGGCAGAAAAGAGCCTACCAGTCTTTATAGCAAATATACAGCAATTATTTTATCTGGGTGATACTTCTATTATGAATTACTTGTTGCAGTTGCTGGTAAACTGCATTGTGTGTTTTTATGGAATTAATGTTGTATCATTGCTTTTCTTTGTTAAAGTAAAATGTTAGGAGCAGGCATGTCTGCCAGTGATGAAATGATGAACTTAATGTTTTTTTGATTATCCAGGAGATATGATATAATACTGTACTTCCCTCTTTAGTTAATCGAGGTCATCACTGCCGTGTGTGATCATAAGATATGTGATTGACTGGCTTGGTGTACGGTACCACCATCAAATCTCCGACAAGGTCATGAAATATTGTACTACTGAAATAATATTAAAAGTTGCCTTGTGAAATTTTGTGTGTCGATTCTCAAGCTGGTCTGAGATTCTGCACACACACAAACACACATAAACTTGTGTGTGTTTAGGCTCTTGACTGGTAAGATTTAAAGCGTTGAGTATGAGAGGATGCAGATTTGTGAGGACGCAGATTTAAAAGATGGAAAGAGAAGGGAAAGGAATGAGAAGAGAAGTAGAACTGAATCATTAATAAAATACAGTGGCTTGCGAAAGTATTCACCCCCCTTGGCATTTTTTCTATTTTGTTGCCTTACAACCTGGAATTAAAATAGATTTTTTGGGGGTTTGTATCATTTGATTTACACAACATGCCTACCACTTTGAAGATGCTAAATATTTTTTGGGGTGAAACGAACAAGAAATAAGACAGAAAAACAGGAAACTTGAGCGTGCATAACTATTCAGCCCCCCAAAGTCAATACTTTGTAGAGCCACCTTTTGCAGCAATTACAGCTGCAAGTCTCTTGGGGTAAGCTTGGCACATCTAGCCACTGGGATTTTTGCCCATTCTTCAAGCCAAAACTGCTCCAGCTCCTTCAAGTTGGATGGGTTCCGCTGGTGTACAGCAATCTTTAAGTCATACCACAGATTCTCATTTGGATTGAGGTCTGGGCTTTGACTAGGCCATTCCAATACATTTAAATGTTTCCCCTTAAACCACTCGAGTGTTGCTTTAGCAGTATGCTTAGGGTCATTGTCCTGCTGGAAGGTGAACCTCCATCTCAGTCTCAAATCTCTGGAAGACTGAAACAGGTTTCCCTCAAGAATTTCCCTGTATTTAGCACTATCCATCATTACTTCAATTCTGACCAGTTTCCCAGTCCCTGCAGATTAAAAATATGCCCACAGCATGATGCTGCCACCACCATGCTTCACTGTGGGGATGGTGTTCTCAGGGTGATGAGATGTGTTGGGTTTGCGCCAGACATAGCGTTTTCCATGATTGCCAAAAAGCTCAATTTTAGTCTCATCTGACCAGAGTACCTTCTTCCATATGTTTGGGGAGTCTCCCACATGCCTTTTGGCGAACACCAAACGTGTTTGCTTATCTGTTTCTTTAAGCAATGGCTTTTTTCTGGCCACTCTTCCGTAAAGCCCAGCTCTGTGGAGTGTATGGCTTAAAGTGGTGCTGATCTCCGCTGTGGAGCTTTGCAGCTCCTTCAGGGTTATCTGTGGTCTCTTTGTTGCCTCTGATTAATGCCCTCCTTGCCTGGTCCCTGGTCTGTGAGTTTTGGTGGGCGGCCCTCTCTTGGCAGGTTTGTTGTGGTGCCATATTCTTTTAAAAAAATAATAATGGATTTAATGGTGCTCTGTGAAAGTTTCTGATATTTTTTTATAACCCAGCCCTGATCTGTACTTCTCCACAACTTTGTCCCTGACCTGTTTGGAGAGCTCCTTGGTCTTCATGGTGCCGCTTGCTTGGTGGTGCCCCTTGCTTAGTGGTGTTGCAGATTCTGGGCTATTTCAGAACAGGTGTATATATACTGAGATCATGTGACAGATCATGTGACACTTAGATTGCAAACAGGTGGACTTTATTTAACTAATTATGTGACTTCTGAAGGTAATTGGTTGCACCAGATCTTATTTAGGGGCTTCATAGCAAAGGGGGTGAATATATATGCACGCACCACTTTTCCGTTATTTATTTTTTTGAATTTTTTGAAACAAGTTATTTTTTTCATTTCACTTCACCAATTTGGACTATTTTGTGTATGTCCATTACATGAAATCCAAATAAAAATCCATTTAAATGACAGGTTGTAATGCAACAACATAGGAAAAACGCCAAGGGGGATGAATACTTTTGCAAGGCACTGTACACAGGCTGTAATGTTCTTTAACTTAACACAAATAATGTTAACAAATGATATTCTATTGAATCAGTACTTTAATGTTTATATTATGAAATGTAAACTTGGGCATTGCTGGTGCTGTAGAGGGAAATGTGATTGAGAGAAAAGGTTGTGAGTAGCCAGAGCATGGTTGTTAGAAACACTATGTAGCTTATAATGTTAGTTCAAATATATTGAACTATATATTAAACTATTATAGGTGTTATCCTTTTTTTGATAGACTTGTACTCTAATACAATTGCTACTCTAACAAGATAGTTTAAATGATACAAATGTTAGTATTTATGTATCTGTGCTGGGATTTTTCACAGATGGCTTTTTCCATGTCTGTCATATTGCAGTTGTCCCAGATCAACAATACATGTCCTTATGTTCCTATGCTGTCTGTGCATCATTGAATTATATTATTTTGCACTCAATACATTTTGGTCATGACTATTACCATCGGTCCGTTGTGTGTGTGTGTGTGTGTGTGTGTGTGTGTGTGTGTGTAAACAGTACACCCTCACGCATTGGAGACATACAGTCTGTTGTGTGTGTGAACTGTAATTTCTACTCCTACAAGTTTCCAGTAGGACTCTGATTCAACAGAAATGTGTTGTTTTAATTCTGGCTTGGTCCTTTAGGGTCAGCATCAGTTTCGAGCCAATATGCTCTGATCCATTCCATTTCAAACTATTAGAATTTGAAAAAAGTAATTTAGATGCATAAAGTAAACAGCATCGTGGGTCAATTTCCGCAACAACTAAGAGTGTTGATGTGTGAGGCTCAACCTCTCTGCTATTTTGGTGCCTGGCTACCACGCTGTGAACAGTTTGAAGTGAACAGCTTGAAGCAAACCCGTGCGCATGCGCATAAACTGTGTGTCGCTGTGTGAGAGCGAAGTGTTGCATCTCACTCATATCTAGCTCCAGTGTTGTCGTGGCAACATCATTTCGCTGAGTCTACCTTTTAAGTGATGATTTTCCCATTCTTTAATTGAAATGAATGACCTCAACCAAATGTATCCCCAGAGTTGTGATCTGATCATAGAGATAGAGGATTCTAGTGGCCAAAAGCCCGTTTTCGCATGGGCTGCACCATCGAGGACTTTCACCATTTTGAAGTAGTTAACTGGGTGGGACTTCATATATAGGTTAAGGAAGGATCACATAGTTCCATCCAGGTCACCAGGAAGGATCAGCCAATGAATTATACTTGTGAACAAACATTCCAGGTGGCAGTAAATCACCAACCTTTGCTTTTATACCTGTTCAAACGACACTCTAGGTGGCAGTGTGCACCCTTTCAGTTTGTTTGCCAACTCAGAAGTAGTAGAATAAGAAAATTGACTACTTCAAAATGGAGATGGACTCAATGGCGCCACAGATAGAACAAGGAGTCAGATGTTTCACCGGATGTATAAATCTGAAGCATCCAGTTGGAATTTCCACATCCCATCAAATATGGTGAGGAGAAGAAGCCCAGTGGCCAGCAGAGGGAGAGTATGGTGCGAGATGGAACTAGGCCGACATTCTGCTGATTTTTAAATCCGATTCAAAAGTTGGCGTGAGATGGCGTGCGAGCAAGATTAATCATCATTGCACAAGCAAACGAGTCGAGAGAGAACATGTGGTCGAGCGAGCAGAGGACAGGTCCCGCGAGCCGGCATACGCGTCAACACTCCCTCATCTGATTGGTCGAGTAGGCGGGCCTTATGACTGAGTTTGTGGTAACTAGTGACAACCAGTTGCGAGAACAAAATTAATTTTCACGATCAAACTGGAAAATTGGTGTGAGAGGGAGTGGACATCGGTGTGGGGACGCCGTGTATTTTTGAGAGTGCAGTAATTTCTGAGTCTTGACATGTACTAAGTATGTCTTCAGGGGGAACTGTGTGCCAGCAATGCAGTTTTGCTCGCTCAAAGTCACACTCGCAAGCTCAAGTTTAATTTACGTGCACCACGCTGGCCTGCGCTTGCGGGACCCGTCCTCTGATCGCTCGACCACATTTGTTCTCTCCACTGAAGTGTTTACTAGTGCAATGATGTTTCCTCTTGCTCGCATGCGCCATCTCGTGCCAGTTTGACTTTTGAATCGAATTTGACTCCATAAAATAGGCAAGGTTTATGACATTGTGGCTGTGGTAACTAGTGACGAATGACGACCCTCCTGCTCTCTCTCGGTCTCCTTGCTTGCAAATCGCTGTTTGCACCAGTGGAGGCTCCTCAGGGGAGGACCATCCTCAGTGAATTTCAGAAGAAAAAAAAGTGAAACAATAAAATTATACTTTTTAGATAAAACTATACAAAATATATTAAAATGTCACCAAATAATAGATTAAAACACTGTTTTGCAATGAAAGGTCTACAGTAGCCTCAGCAGCACGCTGTAGTGTAGCACCATGGTGTAATCGGAGGACAGCTAGCTTCTGTCCCCCTCTGGGTACATTAACTTCAATACAAAACCTAGGAGGCTCATGGTTCTCACCCCCTTCCATAGACTTACACAGTATTTATAACAACTTCCGAAGGACGTTCTCCAACCTCTCAGAACTTTAGTAGCAAGAACTGACATGTTGTCCACCCAATCAAAGGATCAGACAATTCATCTAGTACTGAAAGCATAAGCTACAGCTAGCTAGCACTGCATTGCATATAATGTGGTGAGTAGCTGACTCGGAGAGAAAGACAATAGTTGAACAGTTTTGAACAAATTAATTTCTTCCAAAATTATGGAGAAGCGAGAGAGAGCTAGCTATACTTTGTTGTGTGTGTATATATATATATATATATATATATAGATATATATATACATACAGTGGGGAGAACAAGTATTTGATACACTGCAGATTTTGCAGGTTTTCCTACTTACAAAGCATGTAGAGGTCTGTAATTTTGTACAGACTTCAACTGTTAGAGACAGAATCTAAAACAAAAATCCAGAAAATCACATTGTATGATTTTTAAGTAATTAATTTGCATTTTATTGCATGACATAAGTATTTGATCACCTACCAACCAGTAAGAATTCCGGCTCTCACAGACCTGTTAGTTTTTCTTTAAAAAGCCCTCCTGTTCTCCACTCATTATCTGTATTAACTGCACCTGTTTGAACTCGTTACCTGTATAAAAGACACCTGTCCACACACTCAATCAAACAGACTCCAACCTCTCCACAATGGCCAAGACCAGAGAGCTGTGTAAGGACATCAGG